GAGGGCAAAGGAGCAGGAACACGTGGTTCTTGGTAACAAGAGAAGTTAGAAGGCTGAGTATATATTCAAGCAGGTTGGCAGAGATAAAGGACTCAACACGAGGACATTCCTGCCTGATGGCTTCTATTTTCTCAATATAGATGAGAAAGGTTCATCAGCTACGGTGGAATGGTGAGGAGGAGGAAAGGCAATGGAGACTGGAAGAGAAATGAAAGCTTGTCACGGAATCAGTCACTTTTTTTTTTTTTTTTTTTTTTGAGCCCTCCTGCCACCTGTTGGCAGCTCAGCGGCAGCTCAGCTCAGGCCGGGCATTGAACCGCTGTTGCTCAGAGCTCACACTCTTGAGCGAGCTCTTAACCAACTGAGCCTTTCGGCTGGCCCCAGAATCATTCACTTTTAATCAAATGTCTTTACATCCTCCACAGTACCCAGCACAGAGCTAGTTAACACAGTAAGGATTCGATTACACACGAGGCGAGGCCATGAAGTCTGCAGTATAGGCTTTGCTAGCACCTTTTTCAGTCGGGGTGTTGAGAATGTGTGGAGCCTGGACCTCCAGGCCTCCTACATCAGGTGTGATGCCTGCCTGGCTATTTGTTGAAGGCAGAGTCTCAGGTATCTTGCAAACAGTGAAGTCAGATCATCACCCATTCTACTACAAATGTCACCTGCAGTAGACACAGGCGAACAAACACTGCCATAAAGATAAGATGTCAAGACGACTGCAGTCGGCTCTCGCTCTCCCATTGGCATCTCAGCCAAGAGCAAACACCGAATGTCTGAATCCCACCCGGCAGCAAGGCGGAGTTCCACCTTCCATCCAGCCCCCGAAACTGCTGTGTTGACACAGCCTGTCCTTCACCCGGTCACATTGCCCTTTTGCTTCGCTCTGTGAATTTGCTGTCAGACTCCTCTCCCATGTCTTCCTTCTTGCTTTCTCCCTGTCCATTCCTCCTCGCGTGGCCAAAGTCCGATTTCTTATGCCAAGTGTCCTAGGTAATTTGCCTTTCCGTGTGTTAGCTCTTCTCCAGTATGTCTGGTCCCAATTCCACCCCTAACTCTACAGCCCTCCTTCCAACATCATCAGGGCAGGTTCAGCAGGTTCTCGAAGATTCAGCAGGTTCACTCTTGAGATTGAACAGTGACATACCAAAAATGCAGCCACCTTACGTGAAACAGAAGGCATTAAAGTGGGTGTGACAAGAGGGAGAACTATCTTATTGCTTTCAGTATTTCAACTATTAGGCAACTGATGGTAAAAGACCCTTGTGCCTTTTCTGGCACATCCTTTGAGCAGCTACTTTGTGATAATGTGACTACACGCATGACACCATTCACTCACTTTGCAAATATTTATGGAACCATTGAGTTTGGGAGCCAGGGTCGATGGAACCCTTTCCCAGTTGCAAGACCACATGTCCCATACAAGAAGGAGAGCACGTGGTGTGAGAGAAAAGTCTGTTAAAAACCCTTCTATTTCAGGCATTATGCTGGCTAGCTTTCTATAGTTCTATTAAAAAGTAAGGAGAAGGGCCGGCCGAGTGGCTCAGTTGGTTAAGAGCTTGCTCAAGAGTTTGAGCTCTGAGCAACAGCGGTTTGAGTCCAGCCCGAGCTGAGCAGCCGCTGAGCTGCCAACAGGTAGCAGGATGGCTCAGCTAAAAAAAAAAAAAAAAGTAAGGAGACACCTGCCCCCTCAGTGTTCGCAATGAGATAAGAGTGCTGATGGGACGAGAGAAAGTAAAATGTCAGAATAAAAAAAAAAAGTCAGACTATGTTCCCAGTTTTGAAAGATGGCCCTCCAGCAAGCAGACACCCGGCTACCAGGCATGGCCACCCCACATGCCAGCTGCCTCCAAATCACTGGGGAGCCACTCCAGCTTGGGCCCCGAAACTGCCATCCAGTGGCAGAGACCCACCTTTAGACAAAGGGTAGGAGGCAGTGTGGGTGCCATCTGATCATTACTCAGAATTGTTTGGGCCCATCTGTCTCTTGATATTCTGACATTTTCTTTGAATCTAATAATGTGACAAAGTAGAAAAATCAAGGACTAGAGAGAAACTGACCAGGTTCTGAAGGCAGGCTCGGCTGTTGACTATCTGCGTAATCTCAGACAGGTTACTTGGTCCTCTGAGCCTTGTTTGACCTGTCAGATGAGTGTAAGACCGCCTAGGCTGTAGGATTATTGTGAGAACTAAGGGTAGTATTGTGCAAAGTGCCCAGGTGGTGCCCAAAATGACAGCTATTATAGCTGGCGGAATGCTCAGGTTTGATTTCCGGGGCCCAGGATGATCTACACATAATCTCTTGAATTGAAACGGATGTTTAAAATTCTACCCCTAAAGATTTAATGAGAAAGGAAGAAAACACGGCATCAGGAGGTGCCACGCGATACACACACACACACACTCATCCATGCTACACCAAAACTAAACGACGGCAACGAAACTAGGAGGTGCCCTTCACTCATACGGAAAAAGACTTCGCTCTCATCTCTGCCCCTCTGTCCCCAGCACAACGCCTTGTCCAGCCGCGGGCGCTGAGGTCTTTGCCCAGTCCCGGTTTGGATAGAGCGAGGCGGTAGAAGGCAGAAGAGGAAGGGGCTGCTGCTTCAATGCAGGGGGAATGGGAAAGGCGGCACAGGGAGGAGAGTCAAAGACACCGTTCCTCCAGCCTCGGGGAGCTTTTCCAGGGCCCAGGCAAGGTCCGCTAACAGACGCTTGTGAGGCGCTCAGTTCTGCAGGCAGAAGGGCAACAGCGACATCTGCAGGGCAGCAAGGTGAACTTGGCCCGGGAAGCAGCGAGGAAGGGTAGGGAACGCTTGGCCTTTAGAACACGCTCCGCAGTCAGCTGGTGAGCTTGCCTTTTCTCCACATACCGGAACAGGTGTGTGCACAAGGGCAGGCCACCTCAATAAAAACCCCTAAGGCCCCCACAGCCTGATATGTTGACCTTCCCTGCCACTCGCTGTTAGAGAAACTCAGGCAAACTCTCATGGAGCTGGAAACTCGGGGACCGTGTGTCAGTTTAAGGTCTCTAGGGCAAGCAACCGAAGCGGCCTGATTTTCAAAGAAACGAAGTTTATCAATAAGGTATTGGACAGCTCAAAGGGAAGCTAAACATTCAAAACCCAGTCAAAGCACACGGCAGGGCGATTCTGGTCGCCCAGAGCTGCCACCAGCACCACCGGCCAGCACTGGCAGCTGGGCCCTGCTGCTGGCCCTGGAGAGTGGATGCTGCAGGTGGTACCCGTGCTACTACCGAAACGGAATCATCACTGTCCCCGTTTTGGGCGTCACTAGCTCCCCATTTAAAGTCCGAGGTGGTTGTGTCTGATTGGCCGATCCCCACCGTAGCTCTAAAGGGAAAAGATCTTGCCAACAGGCGGCTTCCCCAAACATAGAAAAGAGATTCTGCAGATGCTGGCCAGCCAAACACAGACAAGCGTCCCCTACAGAAAGGGACTGCAGTGACAGCACACTGCAGACCCCACCACGCAGCGAGTGTTTTTTGAGTTTGTGGAAAGTTGTGTGACAAAGCAGAAAAGGCACAAGCCAGGAATTCAAAATTCTAGGCCCAAGCGCTGATTCTGTCATTTATTAGCTAGGTGAGTCGGGCAGGTATATAATAAGCTTTCTGGGGTTTGGCAGGATAATTACTCCTATCTACCTTGCAGGGCTGACGTGTAGATAATTTTGAGGCCAGGCTTTGAAAAGGATACTGAGTAAATCCGTCTGCCTCAGGGTCCCGGGCTATCCATTTGTAAAATGAGACTATTTCCTACATTGTAGGGCGATTGTGAGGTAAATTAGAATATTATAAATGAATGACTTGTTTACAGATTGAAATTCTTTGATGTCTGGGATTTGCCTCAAAATAATGGGGGTGGTGGGTGACAGGGGAAGTGGGCAGCAATAAGGATAAGGCTGACCATGAGTTATTGAGTGTGAAACCTAGCTGGTAGGCACGTTCTACCATTCCCTCTACATTAGTATGGGTATGAAATCTTCAATAATAAATGTTTTCTTTAAAATGAAGTATCTTGGAAATACCTAAAAGCAGCAGGCAGGCCACACTCTCTAAATTTCATTGTTACTGAGTCAGCGGTAGGCGCCACCTCCCACCCTCCCCCCTCAGGCGTTGTTTTCTCAGGATTGGGGTCTTTTCTTCTCTGCCCAGCACCCTCCTCCTCGGACTGGTAGCTATGTAAGGCTATGTGAGCGAAAACATCTTCAGTGGTACAACATCGGTTTGAAACAAAAACTAAAACCCCAAAGAACTAATTAACAACAGGAAAAAAACAAGCAAAACTTCGTACACACCCTTTAAGGGGCAGCCTGTCCCTCCGCTCGGTCCTGGTTCAGAGCCAACTGTGAAGTTACTCTTTCCAACGAACAAAAACGGATTCAAACTTCTCTTTTCCTAGCACGGCATTCGGTTAAGGACCACAGAAAACGCCGAATAATAAAGGCGCCACAAAAGGCGGCACACCAAGTGCCAGCAGGTCGCGCAAGGGAGCTAAATACGACTCGAGTCGTCCCGCAGCCTCAGTCCAGAGCCGGCGGTGGGCTCGGTGGGTCCACGCGGCTCCGGGCCCCACCAGGATACCAGCGGCTGCGGGGTTCAGAGGGAAAGGACACCGATCAAGAGTGCAACCGCGTCACCGCAAGGAAGAGACCACTTCCTTGGTCGCGACGGGTCGAGCAAGGAACACTAGCATCCCCAGGAGGCATTACAGCCAGACAGCGGGTGCTTAGTTAATTCCGACCAGGAAGGGTTCCACCTGAACTGGGCGGGGCTTCTGATCCCGGCTCTGCGGGGCCCGCGGACACACCGGCAGCCGTAGCGATCTAACCTAACCACGTGGTCTCTCTTTAAAAAAAATGCCGCGCAAAGCCTGTACCGCCCACCGCCCGCTGGGAACAAACTCGGCTCCCTGCGGGGCGGAAGTACTTCTGCCCCCAACCAAGATGGCCACTGGGCGGGGCCGCCGGACGGAAGTGGCCTGTTGGGCCACTGACAGGTCCACGATGGCAGCCGCGGCCGCTTCCCCCGCGCGGAAGCGGCTGGATCTGCGCGACCCCGCGGCGCTTTTCGAGACACACGGAGCGGAGGAGATCCGAGGGCTGGAGCGCCAAGTTCGGGCCGAGATTGAGCACAAGAAAGAGGAGCTGCGGCAGATGGTGGGCGAGCGGTACCGCGACCTGATCGAGGCGGCCGACACCATCGGCCAGATGCGCCGCTGCGCCGAGGGGCTGGTGGACGCCGTGAAGGCCACCGACCAGTACTGCTCCCGTCTCCGCCAGGCAGGTTCGGCAGCGTCCCGGCCGCCGCGGGTCCCACAGGTTAGTCCAGAAACCCAAGTCCCCGCCCCCGCGGAACCCGCAACCCCAAACCTGCCACTCCCTCGAGTCAGCCCCACCCCCCGCCTGCCGGATCCTCACCTGCATTTGGGAAGAGGCTGCCGCCACTTTGGGGGTTCCTCTGCTCAGGGGAGACCGCCGGCAGTCCTTTCACTGGCTGCTGACCCACCCTCCAAGTCGTTCAGCTGTTTCTTCAGGAGCCTTCCCTGACTTCCGGGCCTGGCTTCCCTCACCTCACCTGTGGGTTCACTGCCGTGCGATGAAAACGCCAGGGGTCTCCCTCCGGAGACAGTTCAACCGCATTTGCTGATTTTCTTCTTAGAGCAGAATTTTTTCCTTTACGTTGACACGTTCCCCCCCAAGTTGTTCATTCCTCATCCCAATCTTCCGCCCACCTCCACCCCATTCAAGAATAATGCAGCCGTGAACACATCCCAATATTGGAGCAGCATTTGGTGTTCCCAAAGAATGCTGACTTAGGGAGACAGAGGCAAGAGGAGATCAACACGTTAAAATTACAACTGAATTATAGAACAGTCAGCCTGGAGAACCAGCCAGAGACTAGCAGGGCAGTTTTATACCTAAGGATGCAAAGCAGTGGCCAGGTCAAGACTGGTAGGCGGGGCGGAGACGTGCACCGGCCGGCCGGAAGCCGCCATGTGGTGGTTGAGAATCAGGAGGGAGTATCTTGGCTGCAGAGGGTCCCCTCCAGAGGAGTGACAAACCCCAGCCCAACACCAGCCTCCCCAGAGTACTGGTGCCGGGAAGAGGAGCCCCCACAACATCTGGTTATGAAAAACGGGGGAGTCTGACCATCTGGGTGGGCCGGAAGACTACAGGAAACCCAGACGTCCTCTTAACCAGCCCTGCCCACGCACAGACTCACAGGCACTTACCATGGGCTCTGGCGGAGGGACGATGACTGAGAGGTGGGGGGGGCATCAGAGGCGTATGGGGGCGAGGGGGCAGACTGAGGGGGTTTGGGGGAGGACTGGAGGAGATAGCCATTTTCCCTGTGAGGAGGCCTCCTTGCCTACAGCTGGCAGGCAGGCGCCATCTTTCCTGTGTTGAGCCGTCCCCTCTGGCCAAAGCTGAATCTGATTGGCCTGGTGAGCTCCGCTGCTCCGCCCTGCTGACTCACTAGGACCCACCCACCCGGCTTCCCCAACTTCTCCGCAGCAGCCAGCCCCGCCCACACTGCACTCTTTCTTGGAAAACTGTTCGTGTCCATAGGCCCCAGGCTGGCGGGGACTGGCCTCAGTGTGCTCTGAGACTGTTGCTGAGTAGCTCCAGGCTCAGCACTGGCACCAAATCAGAGTCTACATTAATCTGGCGACCACAGGTCTTCCCACTCTTCAGACTCCCTGAGACCCTGCCTCCACCTCCCACGAGGCTTTATCAGTGGCTGAACCTTAAGGGAGCTGGCAGGTGGCAGCCAGCCTCGGGGTGTCCTGACTTTTTGCACAGCTACCCCAGACCCGGTACTGGTGGCAGACGTCCTCAGTTTGAAGTATGGTCTCTTACACACACTGACAACATTAGCATTAGCAGCAAACAACCTACCAGGTAGTCTCCAGCAGGTCACAGGCAGTGTGTTACCTGTGCCTGCAGCAAAGCCCCTCCCAAGAGGCTTCAGGACCAACATACTTGGAGTTTGGCTTCAGACCACAGCAGAGCACCACCCAATTAGCCCCACAAGTGACACACACAAAGGGTGGTCTCAACAGGCACCAGAGCCTGCTGGGGTAAATCCCACTCAGCGGGGTTAGCTCCCCACACAGCAGCTTATAAGCTGTGGAAGTGGCCAAACCCCACAGCCTGAAGTTTCATTCCCACCCACTGAGGTTCCAGTAGCAATCAAGGCTCAACTATAACAAGGGCACACACAAGCCACACAAGGGACACTTCTGGAGCACCCAGAGTAGGTGACCAGGGAGACTGTGCCAGGGCCCCACAGGGCACCCACTATGTAAGGCCACCCAGCCAAGACTGGGACACATAGCAGATCTACCTAATACATAGAAACAAACAGCAAGACACATTATAATTAAAGTGGCAAAAGTTAAGTTAAAGACAAAGAGAATCCTAAAAGCAGCAAGAGAAAGGCAACTAGTGACTTATAATGGAGGCTCCATAAGACTGTCTACTAATTTCTCAACAGAAACCTTGCAGGCCAGAAGGGATTGGCAGGAAATATTCAACATGATGAAAAGCAAGGACTTACAACTAAGGGTACTTTACCGAGCAAGGCTATCATTTACAATCAAAAGACAGATAAAGAGCTTCCCAGACAAGAAAAAGCTAAAGGAGTTTATCACCACCAAACCAGTATTATAAGAAGTGTTAGAGGGACTTCTTTAAGATGGGGGAAAAACAAAGATCAAAATTATGAATAATAGTATGGCAATAGCTATATATCTATCAACAATTACTTTCGATGTAAATGGAATAAATGCTCTAATCTAAAGACATAGGAGGGCTGAATGGATAAGCAAACAAAAGCCTCAATATGCTGCCTACAAGAGACTACTTCAGATCAGAAGAGAAACACAGACGGAAAGGAAAGTGATGGAAAAAGGTATTTCATGAAAATGGAAATGAAAAAAACAAAAAAATCTGGGATAGCAAAACTTATACCAGACAAAATAGACTTAAAAGCAAAGGTTATGTCAAGAGACAAAGAGGGACTCAATAATCCCACTTCAGGTATTTACCCAAAGAAACCCAAAATGCTACTTCGAGGGGAGTGTGCATCCATATGTTCATTGCAGCATTGTTCACAACAGTCAAGATGTGGAGGCAGCCTGGGTGTCTGTCCATGGAAGAATGGATAAAGAGTAGAAGGTACATACATACAATGGAATATTGCTCGGCCATGGAAGGGAATGGGTTCTTGCCATCTGTGGTGGCATGCATGGACCTGGAGGGTGTTGTGCTGAGTGGAGTGTCAGACCAAGAAAGACAGATGCAGTATGATTTCGCCTATATGTGGAAGCTAGAGAACAAAATAACAGAAATAAACTCATAGATACAGAGAGCATTTTGATGATTGCCAGATGGGAGGTGAAAAAGGAGAATGGATTAAAAAGTACAAATTGGTTCGTTACAAAGTAGTTATGGTGATGTAGAGTATAACATAAGGAATATAGTCAATAATATTATAATAACTATGTATGGTGTCAGCTGGGTACTAGATTTGTTGGGGTGATAGATGGGAGGAGAGTTAGAGGGCTGGGTGAAAAAGGGGAAAGGATTAAGACAAGTTGGTAGTTACAAAATAGTCATGGGGATGTAAAGCAAAGCACAGGGAATACAGTCAATGATACGGTAATAAGTATGTATTATACCAGGTGGGTATTAGACTAGTCAGGGGGATCACTTCTTAAATTATATAAATGTCTAGCCACTATGCTGTACACCTGAAATCAACATAAAGTAACAAATGTGAACTGTAATTGAAAAATTAAAAAAGGGAGAAATGGTGAAGAGATCCACATTTCCAGGTATAAAACAAATGAGTCACAGGGATGTAATATACAGCATAGGGAATATAGTTAATAATAATGTGAGCATGGGGTGGTGTCAGATGGTTGCTGGACTTATCATGGTGATCACTTCTTTAGGTATATAAATGCTGAACTACTTTTATATAGTGTACACCTGAAACTAACATAATATTGTATGTTAGCTATATTTTTAATAAAAATCTTTTCATAAAATAAAAAAAGAATGTTGATTTAGGGATGACAATGTGAAAGGGCCCTGAGGGTGAGAAAGGTAAACAAGGAATTTGTTTTTAACAAGCTGGGAGAACCTTACAGCAACATGGAAGAAGAAATTGCAAAAGTACAATTTAGCTCCATTTTGGAACTTTTTACTACAACCTGGGTTGTAGAAGAATTCAGGTCAGTGGGGTAGGCTCGCCCTATAGACCCGCAGAAGAAATACTGAACTTATTTGTGAAATGAGAGACCTCATCTCTCTGTAGCTTTGCATTTAGTACATGTCCTCCCCCCTTACGTGGCAAGCCTTTGCTATAACTCAGTCATGCTTCAAGGTTTATTAAAAAGCTAACTTGTACTATGCCTGATTTTAGAAATGTATTTATTTGTATAGTTGTTATATCTGACCTATTCTCAGCCAAACCCAAAAAATTTTGAGTGCCTTCTTCAAGGTACAAAGAAACAGAAGTACCCCAATTTCTGCTCTGACAGAGCTTACAATCTAATCAAGGAATTAAATCCATGGAAAGTTGGTAAGAGAAATGTAAATAATTTCAAATAGCACTAGAAAACATTTTTGGATAATGGTGATTGGTTCCTAAAATAATTGTGTATACTTACCATAAAAATGCTGAAGGAAGTCACTTCAGACTTACATCCTGCTCAGTAAACAAGGGCTTTAAGGAAAGATGGCATTTGGAATGTGGTCTACAATATGTAAAGACAATTAAAAACAGGTAGTCAATTTGATCAAAGTAGGGTTTCTCAACCATGGTGCTTTTGACATTTTGGGCTGAGTCATTCTTGGTTGTAACGTGCATAGGATGTTTAGAAGCATTCCTGGCCTCTTACTAGATGCCAGTAGCGCCCTCCCCCCTCACCCATTAGCACATGGTAATAATCAAAAATGTCTCCAGATATTGCCAGATATTCCCTGGGAGCTGTAATCATTCCCCACACACACACACACACACACACACACATGAAAAACAATGGATTCAAGGACCCCCTGGAAGAAAGCAGTGGTAGGACAGGAAAACCCTGACCACCAGGCTGATACTAAGTATGGAGGAGCATTTTAGAACCAGGCAAAGATATGATCTAAATGGCTTTTGAAGAGGGTAATTTGACAGCAAAGGAAAAGGCTAGATTGGAGTAAGTAATGAATAAACACAGCACAGTGAAATATTTTTCGATTAATCTAAGTATGAGATGATAATGTCCTGCATTAGAACCATAGAAGTGGTAACAGAAACTTAAAGGACATGAATTTCCTGGGAATTGAGGAGCAGAGTGCTGGTATGTGCTAAGATTTTTGTTAGGGAGATGAATTTAGTTTTATACATACTGATCATGGAATGACAGTGAAACTTACCAGGCAGTAACAGAAAAGGCTAGATTGGGATTCAGGGGGAGTGGTGAGTAATAAAACAAATAGGGTAGTAGTGTTCTGCGTAGAGGTGATGTTTGAGGGAAGAGAATCCGGAAGAGGACAGACTGAGAGGAGTGGAGGCCTGAGGACTGAGCCAGGTGAAGATCTGGTGAAGGGCTGGGGATGAGGAACAGCCAGCAGAGAAGTCCATGATGCACTCAGAAAAGCAGGAGGAAATGCAGGCAGGACGAAGGTCAGAAAAGGGCAGGAGAGAGCTCCCTCCAGGGACGGTCCATAGGGCTCCATGCTATTGAACATCCCAGGATCACTAATAACCAGACTGTGAGATGGCCAGATTGTCTCTCCATGGGCCTGAGCAAAGGTGCACACAACTGGTAGGAAAAACCACTGAGATTGTAGCACACTTCTGACTCCAGTAATTCTACTACACTGAACTTGGATGCCTTGCTGAATGGCATTAAATCTGGCTATTGAAAGCTTTGTACCCTAAAATGCCCTTACATTTCTCCCCAAGCCTGCCGGTCCTGGCCTTGCTTTTGTTTGTTCTGACATAGTTCTGTGCCTTTCCCTGCAGCCACAGCCATCCCAGGAGAAGTTCTACAGCATGGCTGCCCAGATCAAGCTCCTCCTAGAAATTCCTGAGAAGATCTGGAGCGCGATGGAGGCCTCTCAGTATCTCCACGCCACTCAGCTTTACCTGCTGTGCTGCCACCTTCACAGCCTGCTCCAGCTGGATTCTTCCAGCTCTCGATACAGCCCCATCCTCTCCCGATTCCCCATACTCGTCCGGCAGGTGGCAGCAGCCAGCCACTTCCGGTAAGTAGATCCAGCATGAAGACCATCTCTGTGAGGGCTGCGCTGCCCCACTAGAGTTCTGTGGAACATGTCTTCTTTCCTGATGCACCAACGTTCTTCTCCTGAGATGTAAACATTTCCCTGCTGACCTTTGTCATCCTCTTTCTAGGGCAACCATTCTGCATGAAAGCAAGATGCTGCTCAAATGCCAAGCCGTGTCTGACCAAGCTGTAGCGGAGGCCCTGTGCTCTATGATGCTCTTAGAAGAGAGCTCTCCTCGCCAAGCCCTAACGGACTTCCTGTTGGCCAGAAAGGCAGCTATTCAGAAACTCCTCAACCAGCCGCACCACGGTGGGTGTGGCTGCTTTCCATTTTGCCCATAAACATGGGAATGGAGAAGGATTAGCTGAGGGAGACTGAAGCAGCCAGAGCATTTTCTGTTCCTAACTTGACTGAAGGAAATTGTTTTAAAAGGATGGTTTCTTCTCATAGGTGCTGGTATCAAAGCTCAGATTTGCTCGTTAGTGGAGTTGCTGGCCACCACTTTGAACCAAGCTCACGCTCTTTTCTACACTTTACCAGAAGGGCTGCTTCCAGATCCGTCCCTGCCATGTGGCTTGCTCCTCTCAACTCTAGAGACCATCACAGGCCAGCATCCTGCCGGTGAGCTCTTAGCCAACGTTTTTTCTTTTCTGGTTCATTGAGCTGATGTTGATTGAGTACCTACCATCTGTCAGCTACTATGGCAGGCTCTGGAGATACAGCATGAACTGGACAAATATGGACTCCACCCTCTTGGAGGTCACGGTCTAGTAGTACAGGCAGATATTGAACTCAAATACACACATATCTGTTTAATATTAATATTGGTCATGGCTCTAAAGGCAAAGTATAAGTTGACTTGGGAGCTTTGAATGGAGGGACCTCGCCAATGTTGCTTTCATTTGAGAAGTGATAGCTAAACTGAAACCTAAAAGTTGAGTAAGAGATAGTCAGGTTAAAGAAGGCAAGGAAGAAAGTTCCAGGCAAAAGGAAGAAGATGTGCAAAGGCCCTGAGGCAAGGAGGATGTTGGAATATTTGAGGAACTGAAAGAAAGCAGGTGAGGCTAAGGGGTATTGAGTGAGAGAAAGGGCAGCATGAGAAAAGATGTGGCCGGTCTATCAGATTTGACCAGATAATGCAGAGCCGTGTGGACCAGGCTGGGGAGTTTGGACTTTATCCAGTGGACAATGCAGAGCCTTCTAGGAGCTTCCAGGCTGGGTGGTCCTTCAGTTATGTGTTCTCATGCATCCTGTACTTTTATCTGGTAGCATTTATCCCAATTGGAATTAAATGTAATTTAATGATGGAGCTAATTATAGATAACTAGGACATCTGTTTTGGAGGAGATAATTTGGTGATGGATTGGCTGTAGAGGGTGTGGAAGGGAGGTGTCCGAGTTTACTAGAAAAAGCTGGTTTGAAAGAGCCGATGATGGGTTCACTCTTGAAAATGCTGCATTGGAGATGACGGACACCTTGGAATGGGAATGTGAGTGGGCCGGTGACTGCGAGTCCAGAACAGAGCAGTGAGAGGTCCGGCTGGAGACACACATCTGTGGTGCTCTGCATGTGGCTGTCGCTTGAAGCCATGGGGATGGATGACATCATTAGTAAAAAGAGAGGATGACAGAGGACTGTGCCTCAGGACACTCCAGAACTCAAAGGTTAGATGGAGGAGACACGGCCAAAGATAGAAGGGGATGAGGAGACCACATAGTGACAGCCATGTGGTCATTTTCACAGACAGATGTGTATTATACACTCTCATCTCTGAATTACTTATCTTTCAACTAGGGTACCACTTCTTTACGCCTTGGTTTCCCTCCAGGTACTTACATTTAGTACTTTCTCCCTCCCACGAAAGGTGAGTATTGGCTAATTTGTCCTGGCGTTGGACAACAAGGAAAAGCAATCTCAGAAGAACCCCTGTGCTTCCAACTCCAGAGGGGCCTTGTACACAGAATACGATGAGTGGGCCTCCCAGAGTCACGCAGCGTAGGCCTGTGCCCTTCTGGAGAGGTCACCTCTGAAGAGCTACGACATCTCACTGGACAGGATTCTTTCCTTAGCTCTTCAAGGGAGGGAGGGGGATGGTGAGCAAAGGGAGACCATCACCTTTATTTTCTGACAACTTAAGTTCTATTGGGATGTCAGAAAAGTCATGACGTATTTTTTCTGTTTTTTGTTGTAAAAATGTGTCATGACTTTTCTGACAACCCAATACTTTGAAAATGGCAAGGCCTGCACAGCAGCCAGTTCTTTCTCTTTTTCCCCATTCATTTCCTCCCTGTCTTTATGCCTTCTCAGCCAATCGGAGGACCAGAGTTGGAGCTGTCAGCTCCCTGATGAGGGAGGCCCTGGACACAGTCTCTGCTTTCCTTCCCCCCTACTTCAGCGGTCCAGTCTGGCCTGCCTAGAGAAAGACTAGAAGAGTTTTGGAAATTCCTCCTAGGTCCATTTCTTAATATGCCACTCAGAGGATGGCCCCAGTTACTTCTCATCTGGCCTTCTCCTTAGGAAAGGGCACTGGTGTTCTGCAAGAAGAGATGAAGCTTTGCAGCTGGTTCAAACACCTACCAGCATCCATCGTCGAGTTCCAGCCGGCTCTCCGGACCCTTGCACATCCCATCAGCCAGGAGTACCTGAAAGACACGCTGCAGAAATGGATCCACATGTAAGTAGCCAGAGCTTTCCCGAGGCTGGCAGGAGCCACCCAGGCAGCGCTGTCTGTGGCCATCAAAGGCCAGTGAGGGATGGGGGACAAGCCTGATCTCCTGGGTGATGCCGACTGTCACCTGATAGGTTGTGCCAGCCACTCACTCCACTGCCTTCAAGGAGGATCAGCCCCCACTGTGGGGGAACCAAGAAGAAATTTGTCTTTCAAAATATTATGTAGAGAATTTTCAATTCTCTTTATGTAAGAGTTCTGTCACTCCTACTTCTTTAGTGCAGATTCTGAAGCCATTCTGTGGGGCTCTCGACTGACCTCCGTCTAGATACCTCAAGGAAGCAAGGGTGGGCCTGGCAAAGGGCTATAGGCTCCACCCCTCCATTCAGCCAGAAACGCTGTGTTTATACATACTTTTAAATGCTCTGAAATACATGTTTATATATTGGGACCCAGGTAAGAGGTTTTCAAATGGAATCCTGCAACTTAATTAAGGTGTGAAACCATGAATCTAATGAGGCCCAAAGAAAATGATTTTGTTGTAGGTGTAATGAAGACATTAAAAACGGGATCACCACCCTGCTTATGTACGTGAAGAGCATGAAAGGTCTCGCAGGGATCCGGGATGCCATGTGGGAATTACTTACCAATGAGTCCACCAGTCACAGCTGGGATATGGTGTGTCGCCGGCTCCTGGAGAAGCCACTGTTGTTCTGGGAGGATTTGATGCAGGAACTGTTCCTTGACCGATTACAGGTAAGATGGGAAGTCGTGGGTCCGTCTGTTTTACGGCCAATCCTGGGGTGGTCTTTTGATCGTCTGGGTTGACTCCTGTCAGTTCCTAAGTGTATTCTTTCCCTGCTGACTTGCTCCAGGGAGTCCCATAGAATGGCCTCAGGGGTGGTTCTTCTGGACAAATGAACCATAGAAATGAACAGAAATCTGGGTTCTGGTGCTGAAAACGAGACCAGGCGCCTGTCAGTTGGTGGGGAACGTGGCCATGTTCATCAGTGATGACTTGGCTCTCTGCCAACACCATGTCATCTTTCTGGTGGAGAGCTTCCTGAACGCTGGGATAGAGTGCCACTCGGGTGCTCCTGTTTTGCGATTTCCCGAAAGCAGTTGTGATTAGAATGCTTTTCTCATTCTCTTTTAGACTCTGACGAAAGAGGGCTTTGACTCCATCTCCACTAGTTCCAAAGAGCTCCTCGTTTCAGCTTTGCAGGAACTTGAAAGCAGCACCAGCAACTCCCCCCCAAACAAGCACATCCACTTTGAGCATAACATGTCTCTGTTCCTCTGGACCGAGAGCGCTAATGACCTGCCTTCTGATGCCGCCTGGGTCAGCGTGGCCAGCCGGGATCAGCTTGCCAGCAGCGGGCTCTCCATGAAAGCTCAAGCTGTTAGCCCCTGTGTACAGAACTTCTGTTCTGCCCTAGACTCTAAACTGAAGGTGAAATTGGATGACCTCCTGACTTACCTTCCCTCGGGTGACTCGTCTCTGACCAAGGACATCACCCCCATGCAAGCCAAGAACTGTGCGTTTGACAGATATGCAGACGCTGGGACTGTGCAGGAAATGCTGCGGACTCACTCCGTGGCCTGCATCAAGCACATCACAGACTGCATCCGGGCGGAGCTGCAGAGCATCGAGGAAGTTGTGCTAGAGCAGCAGGATGCCCTCGATGGTGTCAAGCTGCATGCGGTCCTTTTCATGGCCAGACTCTGTCAGTCATTGGCCGAGCTGTGTCCTCACCTGAAGCAGTGCATCTTGGGCAAATCAGGGAGCTCCGAGAAACCAGTGAGGGATTCCAGGGCTCTGAAGAAACAGGGAAAGGGGAAGCCTCAGGAAGTCCTTCCCATGCAGGCCCAGTGGCAGGAAGTCACGGAGCTGCTCCTCCGGCAGAGCGTGATGGGCTACCGGGTCTGGAGCTCAGCAGTTGTGCACGTGAGTAACGCTGATTGTGTACTTTCTGTGCTCACCAGGTTGTCCTCATTTGGTCTCCCTTTCATCATAGTCTGGTCTTGCCAGCCTTGATAAGGTCTTTTAATAGTAAGGGAATGACAACTCTCATTTCATAGTTACTTTCACTTATCTCTGCCACGTAGCTCAAATGTCAAGTTTTCCCTTCATTGGTAGCCTAGATTTTAAAGGCAGAAACCCTGGATTTTTTCCCTTCCATCTAATGAAAAGGAAAGACTTTCTCGCTGGACAAGGGTCTAAATTTCCTGCTCTTCAACCTAAATATCATATTCCCTATAGTCTCCACTGGAGTTTTAAGAAGTGACCCCTGACATTTGTAGAGTAGTTAGCAACAAAATTCCCACTGCTGACTTAACAGCCAAAAGAAGAGGGATGTGTGCCACTCACCATCCCACACGGCTTAAGCAGTGGAAGCTGTTTTCAAAGTTACTCCAGTATCTTAAAACAAACACCACAGGATGAGTGGCCTCTATGGATATTTGCCTTTTGTCACCAGGTTTTGGCTCATGGATTTGCCCAGTCATTACTTTTAGATGATGCTGGCTCAATCCTGGCCACAGCCACCAGCTGGGATGAACTAGAAATTCAGGAGGAAGCAGAGTCTGGCAGCAGCGTCACATCCAAGATCCGACTCCCTACACAGGTAAGCCAGTGCCACCGTCAGAGAGCCATGGGCTGGGGAGGGAGAAACCTGCTCTGCGGAAAAGGAAAAAGATCTTAGAAAATCATCCAACTGACAGCTTCCGAGGAAGAGCTACAAGTAACATTTATAACTTTCCACTGCGGGCAAAGTGGACTTGGGGCCAAGTAAACAGCAGACTGTTCGAGAAGTCAGTGATTGATTCTTTCCTTTTGTAGAACAGGCTCTGTGCTAATTAGAGAACCACTTACCCTAAAGGGAAACCAGCAACATAAAACACAGGGCCACCCACCATGTCAACCCCCGGCCCCCGAGGGAATGACCTCAAATGTCACTCATCTGTCAGCTGCTCTGCTGTAAGAGGGGCTGACTAGAGACATCATGGTCCTGGGGTATAAAAGCCTAGTGAGGAAAATGGACCCATGTTTACTGCGCCTCATTTAATTGGTGCAAGTTGGTGAGTCAACACTGCTTTGTTCTTTTAGCCCTCCTGGTACGTACAGTCCTTCCTGTTTAGCTTATGCCAGGAAATCAATCGGGTTGGAGGCCATGCCTTGCCAAAGGTGACACTGCAGGAGATGCTGAAAAGCTGTATGGTTCAAATAGTAGCTGCCTATGAGAAACTTTCAGAAGAAAAACAGATGAAGGTGGGTGTTTGTTTTCCACTAAAAACCAAAATAAACCTTAGCTTTTTCTTGGGTGTGAGCAGTGCACGTCAAGATTCCGGGGTTCAGGATCTCTGAGCCCAGGCATCTAGTCAATAGTCCTTCCAGCGCTGTGAGCTTCATTACACCCACTTTCAGGGACTGGGTCTTCAGTGCAGTTCAGTGCAAGGAGAGAATGAAAGCTCCGGAGTGCAAGGACCTGCGTCCCAGCCCCAGCACAGCCACATGTTCACTGCGGGCTTGGGGCAAATCATTAACCTGTTTCCTCAGAATCAAATGTGGTCACTTAGATCAAGTACTGGGGGGACTGTGAGCAAGTTGGAAGGATTACAAAGCATAGTGTGTGACACCCGAGGTCCACATACTCATGTAAGGGAGTCCCTGTCTCCCAGCCGTCCAGGCCCCTTACCTTCCAGGAAGCCTCCTGCCCTTGCTGTATATTTGTGTTCATCAGTAATTTTCAAGACAGGACCCACTTCTGATTTGGGAAAGAATTCAGGTAAATCTTCTCTAAGCTCCGTTCATGCAAGGAGCCTTTTTCCCTTTAAAATGACCATCTACACGCTGAGGCCATTTTTAAGAGCTGGGTCTCCTCCTTGCTGTGAGCTTTTTGAGCTTTAAGACCAAGTTTCTAACATAACCTGTTGTGTTGTGAGATTAAACTAGCCACGTGAGTATAATGAGCTTCTGCTTCTGAAATAACAAGTTGTAACTCAACCCAAACCTGAAGCTGTTGATGATGCTCACATGACACGTCATCTCCCTTACCGGGTGTGGGTGGGGAATTGATTTGCAGAAAGAAGGTGCATTTCCAATGACCCAGAATCGGGCACTGCAGCTGCTTTATGACCTGCGTTATCTCAACATTGTTCTGACAGCCAGGGGTGAAGAAGTGAAAAGTGGCCGCAGCAAACAGGACTCCAGGTATCCCCTTCTCGGGGGCTCTTTCTCCCAGTGCAGCATCTGCCAAATGCAAACAGCCCTTTTCTGGGGCGCCACCAAACAGCCTCTCATTGCACATTAGCTGTGTTTGTTTTAAACAGTAAGTACTCATATTACCAGCAAGATAAATAATGACCACCTGCTGGATAAATTCCATGGTCAAGTGCAGTAGGTGGAATCTCATTCCTCTTTCTTATGAGTCAGCCTACCAACTGTTGGGTGTAATTTGAACCTGGAGGGCGCTCCCTAAAAGCAACTCAGAGGAATGGACTTGAATTAGACGTCACAGGTTAAAACTCTTGAAAATGACTTAAGCACAAGGGTCAGTGACAAGTGGCACGCTATCAGCAATGAAGCAGAATAAATCCAGTTCCAGGATTTCTATAGCATTAAAATACCGTAAGATTGGTTTTTGTCTTTAAAAGCTGTGGAGAATCATCATGCTAATCCTTTTTCCAGAATCGAGAAAGTGACTGACGACTTGGAAGCACTCATTGACCCATTCGACCTGGATGTTTTCACACCACATCTCAACAGCAACCTTAATCGCCTGGTGCAGCGAACTTCTGTAAGTCAAGTGAAGGGTCCGTGTGAAGGGAGAGCGGCTCAGATTACAGACTAACCCTGCTCCACACTTACGCTCCAGGAGGTAGTGTGGGGGAGCCGATGAGACACAAATAGCTGGGTTTAAAGACTGTAAAAGGGTTAAGTGAAATCTCCCCACTGAGGCAACCAGGATCTGACCCCTTGAGTTGTAGGGAACGATGGTTTTACCAAGGCCTCAGAAAGGAATGAGGCATGTGACTCAGATTCCGCCCTGTGGGCAGTGACAACAGTCATTTTGAAGCATTAACACCCTCTAAAGAACATTGGCCACAAAGGGAGCAGTGATTAACACAAGTGATTTTCTGTTAACTGGACCACAAAAACCCAGCGTATTATTTGCCCCCTTTCTTGTCTGTCAGGTTCTGTTTGGATTGGTTACTGGTACAGAGAATCAGTTCACCCCCAGGAGCAGTACATTCAACTCCCAGGAGCCCCATAACATACTGCCCCTGGCATCGAGTCAGATCAGGTAATGATTCGAAGGCTTTTGCTGGGGCCCAGAGCTTCCTGTTCATGCCACTGAAATTCCTTCATCTTGTCTTGGAGGTTCGGGCTTCTTCCACTGAGCACGACAAGCACTCGAAAGGCCAAATCAACCAGAAGCATCGAATCCAAAACCCAGGTTAGTGCAAAAAGCAAGAGGTTCACCCACATCGCCTGTCCCCATCTCCCACCTAACCACCCAACCAGCTCCCCTTCAAATCATCAATAAAGAACTGAATGACAAGATGCACTAATGCTGCTTTTAATGGTGGCGCAATATAGAAGTACAAGGTTTTACTAGCTTGAGCTGATAGAAGTTTGAAAAGATGCCCATTTACACTATCAAATAGCCTCATAACAGAACTGTATCTCAAGCTGCCAAAGCTGTAGGATATATGCAGGACAGGATGGAGGTTATTTCTTGGTTTTAGCAGGGTGAGAGAGTGAACTAACCCAGCACTATCATTATACTTATTTGGAAAAAAGATTTCTTTTGGTGGTTTCATCTTCCATTTCTTTTACTTGGGTGGTAAATATAAGGAAATTTGCTTTCTCAAGTTTTACATTTTCTTGTTAACACACGTTTTGTCTCAGTAGGCTGCCATCCATTAAGCCTGCAGGAGTCCCCCTGGGTATTTCTGCTTTGTGTTGTGTACGTGTGTGTCTGAGAGCTCGAACAGCTTGTCTTCTTACAGCATTTAGTTGCTTGCTTTGTTGTTAGACAAAATATCGTCAATGAATCCTTTCCATATTCCCTGCCATCAAACCCATTAAGATCCAAAATCCTAGTGAAAAAATCTGGTTTTAAAACTTGGGAGACGGTAATAAAAAAATTCTTGCAAACCATCCGCTTCGTAAGCATGGGCCAGTGCTATAACTTTCCCCCACGATTCTAAATTTCTCCTTCAGATAACAGACCTTTAAATCTGATCTGTAGAGGAACAGACCATGGAAAGGAAGTGTGTACGTTTCCCCTTTTCCTACAGTACTTCCCCTCTTCCAACTTGAGTTCTGTCCCCGTGTCCTTTTCAAATCCCCTTCCCTAGAGCTATCCATGCTTCTCAGATCTGCTTGTGTGCTGTGTGGACTGAGTGCAGTGGAGGGGGCGAGCAGGGTCTGGGTAGACTCTAAGGCACTTTCCTCTCCGTGCAACAGCAGGTTGTCCCCCCAGCACTCTCCCGAGCAGATGACCCGGCGCATCCTGGCTCCTTATTCAGACAGCTTGTCAGTGAGGAAGACGACTCAACACCTTCATTATTCAAACTTGGTTGGCTCTCAAGTATGACTAAATAACATGGGAACGCATCCACCTCTCTCTAAATAAATACTATTGCATCATTTCTTCTAAAGGTGCCTCTGCTCATTGGTTTCTAAGCCGCACCAATCTTTCCAGTTTCACTGGTGGAATGTGGCCCCATGGTTAGTTAGGGGTTATGTTAAGCATAAGGTGAATCCTTATCTCACAGTACTTGTGACTTTAGACATCAGTTCAGGTACCTTGTACTTTCTCAGCATTCAACACCACCTTCATTCTCGACACTAGAATGAGATCAGAAAGCTGCTGAAGTAACAAGTTGGTAAGACATAAAGTCATTACGTAGTTCTTGACTGTCGGAACCATACGATGTTTTCTACTCAGTGAGATGTAGGCTCTGGAGGAATAATGGTAACAGAAGTTATCTAGGTACACAAGAGGCTGCAAGACATTCTCTCTGGAAATACAAATACATAACAGCGGGGAGACAGTTACGAGGGAGGGGGCTTCACTTACAGTCTCACTTGGGTCTGATTGTTCTGTTACAAAGGAGAGTACTTTCAACAGGACATCTACATACTAAGAGGTAGTATGGCGATTAATTTCAGTGCAAGACTGAATCAAGCTTACTCTATTTTGGAAAAAACTTATGTTTTTTCATGGAAACTAGATACTCTTTACTAGTTTATTGAATTTAAAAAATTGAAGATCCTGCATTTTTAAAAGGCCTTTTTACATAAGGTAGAATTTCTAATTGACAGATTTGTAAATTCATCTGAACTGGACAAACTATGGATTCAACACGCAGATGAGAGAGTTCCTCATACCATTACCTTGACATGGATTTGATACCCACCCTCAAAAGAATCCTATAAAAATTGCTTCAAAGCCCCTTTGAAATTGCAATAGTGCAGCAAAACCACAAGTAAACAACTGCCTGTTAACCTGTTATTTCAAATATAGACTGAAAAGCCAACAGGCATTTTTTTGTGCAATTTTTTAAAACATCGTAAGATGAAATATCCAATCTGCACAGCGCTGTCCCTTCACAGAAGGCAAGAAGCTTCCAGCCCATCATGTGGGAGGCCGTCCTCGGTGCTGTAGGCTATGGAAGTGGGCCTCCTTCAGGGTCTGGTTGATGTGGAAATAAGGGCCTTGGCACAGTGCAGACTGCTCGGGCATGGGCGGCGGGCTGTGCGGGCTGCATCCGGCCGCCACGTGGTTCCGGCTGCTCTCTGGGCCGCTGGCCCTGTCCGGGCTGTTGATGCTGCTGCTGCTGCTGCTCCCACCACTATCGCTGCTTGAAGACTGGAAAGAAAAAGACACACTTCACGGTTAGGCCGTTGTGTGGAGAACTTGACTGTGGTTTAACTGACAACACGCTATTTAAGTGTATTCTTCCTATCGGTTTGAGGAGTACGCGCAACAAAACATATCCTGGGCTTTCCAGTTTACAAAGTACGTTCACCTAAGACATTCCATTCTAACTTCACAGCTCCGCTGTAAGATCAGGTGGGATTGCTGTCCCCATTACACATCCCTAGGAAGTGGTGGGGTCCACATTCAAGCACAGGCCTTCTGACTGCAAATCCCTTCAACCACATCTTAACTCCTGTACATGTCTTCTCTACCTGCTTTTATCATTCATTCCAATAATCAAAGGAGAGGTTCTCAGCCTCCAAGGGAAAGAATCGATCATTGGCACAGGGTATATAAAAGGTGTCCTCATAACAAACACGATGGCTTCTGGGCACAAGTTAAAATAAAAAATAAAAACCAGTGACAATTTTGTGGTTTATCATCTCATGGACACGAAATGGTATTATCTGAATGCAGAACACATACCCTGAAAAACTTGAAATACTTCTTATAAAGTTGTTCCAGCATTTTTGCTGCTTGGATATGTGTACTCGTATACGTGTGCATGAACTTTTCTTTTATGTAACTAACATGATTTAGTGTCCTAGTCACCTTGAAGAAGGTACACAGAGATCCCTAACAAGAGTCACTCGGCAATCTCCTTCCTTCCACTGGTAAGATTCTCAAAAGAGAAGGCCATGGTAAGGATCCTTTTAGAATTATGGTATTATGCAATTTTAATATTGCATTTCTAATAAATGGCAGCCCCAATAACTTGATTAGCAGTACTCTTTCTTTATAACTCAATACAATATTGTGCTAAAAGGAATCAATGCATGAGCAAGTTAGAATTCTAGTAATTAAATGATCTGGTGTAAATTTTTTTTAACTAATTAGCCCTTTGAGTTAGTTATATTCCCTTAGACAAAGATACTGGTTTTGAAATGTCTGCTTACAATGTAACATCTACACATAAGAAAAGAGACAATAAACAAAAATCCCACAGTAATTATGTTTGGAGAGATTATCGTTGCGTATCTTTTCTTACCCTTCACTGTAACTTTTTTGCAATGTGATTACTACTATTTTCATTATCAAAATAAATGTATAAATAAAATATTGTTTCCAGACAGATACTTTAAAAGTGACCTTTAAAATACCAGTTCAATCCATTTTTCCCATCAAAAGTTACACCTAACAATATGTACATAAACATGCCTGAAACGGCAAAGAAAGCATGTTCACGAAAGGCATCCATTATTATGACTTAAACCAAGAACTGTCATGATCTGTGGGTCATTTGGAGCTACTTAACATCAGTCACATATCCCATTGCCCAAAGGTCGTTGGAGACAACCTATCTTTCTACAATTAAAAAAACTCACGAGTGGATCATAATGGACTGAGTGACATCGGGTAGCAGGGTTAGCAGCAACGGCAATTACACTTACTCAGAGACTTAAGAAGTCAAAGCCAATTCAAAAACAAAAATTGTTTCCCATAAAAGCCTCCCCTAACCTAGAGTTATAACCACCTAGGACTGCCGCTGGGACACCTGGTGAGGTCGTGAATATTTAACAAGTAGGTTACTACTACACTAGATAAGAAACCCACCGCGCAGAAAACTTTGTTTCCTCTTAGTCTGTTTTCCTTGTTTTTCATTACAGGTACTGTCTGAAAATTAAGGCAAGAACTAGAATCAGTTTCTAGTAAGTCAAGTTTCCATCTCATATTTATTTCACAATATAATAACAAAGGTGACACTATTCTGAGAAAAGGTAAAAATTCTTTAAACATGTTAGAAAAGATTTCTGTACAATAACCATAAAAAAAGGGGAGAGGGACACATATACTAGCAATTTCTAGTCTATTTTTAAAATCTTGTAACTTAGTTTTATAGACATGTATAAAAATGTTTAGTGTGGCCTTGTTTATAAATAGCTAAAAACAGCAAACAAGTTAAATGTCTAACAATAGGGAAATTGGTTAAATTATAATATATTATATATATAAATGTATATATTTTATATATAAAGTATAATACATGAATTATAATTCATAACAATGAAATTCTATTCAGCTATTAACAATGATCACACACACAAACTAGATCTTTTTTACAGGTTACAATACAGTATGTATGTCAGCTGGTTTTAAAGGTTTTTCTTTAATACAGACATATACGAACACCAAAAAATAGTCTGGAAGGATATATATGCTAAAATATTTAGAATTTGGACCTTCTATATATATTTTTTTTGTACTTTTTTTTTTTTTTATAGCTGAGCCATCCTGCCACCTGTTGGCAGCTCAGCGGCTGCTCAGCTTGGGCCAGGACTCGAACCTCTGTTGCTCAGCGCTCACACTCTTGAGCGAGCTCTTAACCAACTGAGCCACTTGGCCGGCCTCTATATATTTTTTAATATCTTTATTTTCTATAGTTCTTCAAAAAAATATTTCTTTTGAGGAAAAAGACTTAGGAGTAAGAGAACTAAAGAATATTACTACAAAAGAGAGTAAGATCTTCAGTTACTTCTCACTTCCAGACTGAGACTTAAAAAATATACATATGTTGATATTGTCAATAGATTTTAGGAAGACTGTTTTGCATCCTTGAACTACTTAACCCTCCGTCGGGTGCAACTGATCTCACAGATTCATTGCACACAAATTTTCAAATATCTAACAGTTAAGTATCGTGACTCATCGCTTCCGTATCTCCCCCCTCTATCATAACCTATCGCCAGTTGTGTTTGTGACTTAGTAAAGTAAAAACGTATTTCATAGTGGCAATGAATCTGTGAGATCAGTTGCGCCCAAAGGAGGGTTAAGAACATCGAAAACTGCTTCAGTTGTATTCACTTACATTGAGCAGACAGACCAATGATACTTTCAAACTAATAAAAGCCTATATAGAACCCCAGAAGCACTGTTATTTTAATACATATGAAGCGTTACATACTCTGTGTGTACTACTGTCATCAAAGGTAAAAATGACACAACTCTTTCAAAGATACTTTGGTTCCTATTTTCTGCCAATTCAGACTTGTCTTCTTGCTGTAAGAGGTTTTTGGGAGTATCTCAAAATCTATGGATGGGCAAGTGTTTTTCAAATGGAAGGTGAAACCCATTTGGTGGGTAGCAACCAGCATTTAAAAAAAAAAAAAAAAGCAGTGCAACATGGTAAGGGTAATTGTTCTGTGAAACTTTTTTCAATTATTCACAAATATATTTGGTATGTACTGAGTCACAAAGCAAAACATTTATTTGGGTCAAAAATGTTTGAAAGTTATTATCATCGGTCTTAACACTGTCAACCATCAAAATGATGTGCTTTATGGGATAAAGACCATTATTTACTTTTAACCCTAAAGGCATAAAATCAAATTTTAAGTCTCTATCAGTGCTTTAAGATACACACAGGAGTAAATCGTTTTGTCTTATAAAACCAAAAAACTTGAAATAGGAAAAACTCATGTCTCCCTCTTAGTGGCACCTTTTAGTATCAAAGCCTTGGGGTGGCGAGGGGCACTACGTGACAGTGCATGGTTTTGAGAATTAACCACAGCTAAACTGGTACAGGAAGTGTTTACCTTGTTACTGTTCCTGTTCTCAAAAAGACAGCAAGTTCTTTCACTGAAAGAGTCCAGAAACTTAGGGACTGAGAAAGACCAGTCACCTCCAAGTCCTATCCCCGGGCCCGACTCCTCAGAGGACAGTTTATCCAAACCCAGTCACAGAGACCCTTCCTCTCCTCCGAATTTTCAGTTTAGGTTAGTGCTGACCACAGGGCATTTTCAATGACACATTTGTATTACAAATCAAGAGAGAAAAAGGTCATATTCTGTGAAATAAAAACCCAGGTATGCAAGCACAATACAGTTACATGTATGAAGATTCTCACGGAGGGCATCTTTCTAAATACACAAAGGCAACTCCTAGGAATCGTGCAGTGAATCTGGGTGACAAGGGAGAGGTGAAGCTGGGCAGTCATAAAACCTGCCCGTGTACCCGTGTCGCTGCAGGTGCAGGATGAGACCCAGAAGAATGCAGTCTGTTTTGGAATCACTTGCGGACTTTTTTTTTTTTAAGTTGCAGAAAAGGAGTTTCTTTGAAGAAAAAAAATACATTTCAAAGAAACAGAAGCAGGCCCCAACAGTAGTAGAGAATGGCTCAAGGGCCATTATTAGAAAAGAAAGTACATTCCAAAGAGTTTGGAGCGGGCCCCGAGCAGAGGCAAGGCTCAAAATGCTCAAAAAAGGCCCGGACTTTTTTTAAGAAGTGTACACGCCAGGGCCCCAACCTCAGGAAAACCTGGCTGATGTAGGCACAGGTTATTCTGATGTCCAACCACTGTCCAAACAAATGTGTGCGGGCCTGCTGTGTACCGGGCGGCACGGCACGAGGGCCACCTAATCATTTCTGTACTGAGAACATGGTGGCAATACAGCCACTGATAAGGACAGGACAGCCACTGCAGTGACAGAAATCTAGGAACAGGTGTGGGCAGAGGGCACCAGGAGAAGCTCCTTAAGAAGAACAGCGTCTGAACTGGGTCTAGACGGCAGAGGAAGAGTTTAAATAAGCAGGGTGACGAACTGGGAGGGCAGTAAGAGCAACATCAGGAGTGTCCCGGGGAGGAACAGCTGATGGGGTGGGGTGGCGGTGCCCACCCCGGAAGTGTCAGTGAGACGAAACACAGAGGTCAGGGCTAGACGGTAAGTGCCCGAAGTCTGCAGGAACAACGTCCAGGCCCGGGCGACACGTTCAGATCTGTACTGAGAAGTAAGGATGCTGGGGGTCTGTTGGGCTGAGGTAGGGGACACTGAGCAGAGGCCATCGGGGAAGTTTTCTGATGTCAAGAAGGAAAGCGGGTCCACGTGAAGACTGTGACAATGCAAATGAAGGGGTATGTGTCACACCCCAGAGATGGAAGGGGTTCAGGAAGGAAATGGAGACATTCATGTTGACACTGAGCACCCAGGACAATGCTTGGAAAATACAGCTGACCCTTGAACAACGCAGGGGTTAGGGGTGCCAACCCCCTTCGCAATAGAAAATCCACCTATAGCTCCCCCAAAACTACTAATAGCCTACTGTTGACCTGAAGCCTTACCAGTAACACAGACAGTTAACACATAGTTTGTATTTTATATATATGACATACTGTATCTTTCCAGTAAAGTAAGCTAGAGAAAAGATGTTATTAAGGAAATCAGTACTGTACATTTCTGCTGGGGGAAATCCACTTACAAATGGATCCACGTGGTTGAAGCCCGTGTTGTTCAAGGGTCAGCTGTACTCGGTGCTCAGTGCATTCTGCTGAATGGCAAGCGTGTCGGGGAGCCCTGAGGAAAGCTCCGGCGTCCAGAGGAAGCCAGGACCCAGAGAGGAAAGGAGGGGCAGACAGGAAGCTGCAGAGGCTGAGGAGGCGGCTGGCGGCAGTGGGGGGACAGGGGGCTGAGAGAAGCCGAGCTGGGGAGGGGAACAGCCCGGGAGTGGGCTGGTGCCACAGGCAGCGGGTGAGGAGGCCGCAGAGGTGAGGAGAAGGCAGAGCGCCAGGAGCAGCTCTCAGGACGCGTGGCAGGGTGTGCAGCAGGTGCGGGGAGGCCGAGGGGCACTTCCTTCTCTTTGGCAGAAAGGAAGAATATACAGAAATCGTGCAGCAGAGGACAAGAAGCTGAGGAAGTTCGTTTTTCTCAGTCCACTGGGCTAGATTACACCAAAGGTAAAGGCCTCTTGGTCCCTGGCTAGGCCTCCCCTTTATTTACTTGCCCAGGGTGTGAAGTCAGTTGAGAGACAACCCATTTATTGTACATTCATGGTAGAACCTAATCAACTCTCAAGACTCTTTCTGCTAATAACCTTGAAAAAGCCCCCCAGGCAGGAGTGTTACTGAGTCGGCTTCATAAAAATAAAACCAGATATGTGTATATTTATTACCTAGAGCTGTATGCTTTCTCTTCTTAATTAGAAAGGCAGATCACTTCCTTTCAAGCCCCAGTTTCCACTCACATCCATCTCCCTGTTCACTGGTGCTTTTAATTTACAAGAGCCTCAAAAGAAAATAAGTCTCGCTCACTGTGAACTACATCCCGGAGTCATAATGCAGTTCATTTGAAGGCTGCTGCAGAATTGGGATTAAGTGCAAGAGACCCTAGCCAAGTCGGTAAAGCATCTAATGTAAAATCCTGGGCTTGCAAAGTGCCCAACAATGTTAAGACAGCTCCAGGTCTGCTAATGCCACTCAGACAAGAAGACTCCAAATGACTTCAGAGGGTTATTTAAACCACTTCCTAAAGACGCAAGGAAAGAAAATGCAGGTAGGTCAATCTTTAGTGTCAATCCTTACAAGACGAAGGTGGACCTTCTAATGTGCTTTGAGTTCTTTCCAAAACAAAATATTCTGTTATCACTTCATTTGTTTAAATTTCAACAGGCCAAAACATAATGCGCACCTATACAAAAACACGTGAATATATGTACCCTCATAACAGATTTCACATTCAGTTTCAGTACGAAACTGCTTGGGGCAGCTTTTGATGCTGGGAGTTGATATATAACAAACATTTTAAGGACTTAAGCTGTGACCAAAGTTTCTTAAAATGTACACTACAAATTAGACTCATTTTTGAAAGGACTGTGCCTCCATTTTTTAATGGACCTTTTTAGATGTTAATTCAGAATTAATTTGCTACAGGGTTTTAAACACACAACCTGACAGTTTTACCCAAAACAGAGTCTGCCAAAACACTTCTGTCTCTTAGGATGTGCCTACTACCCTATGTAAACTTAGAGATGACAATGGGCAAAACCCAAGAGCCCTAAGATACCTTTCTGAAAAATTATGTTAAATATTATCATTGTCAGCTCATTCTTATTCTTAAAACAAAAAAAGGACCGGCCGAGTGGCACAATGGTTAAGAGCTGGCTTGGGACGCCAGAGGGCCCCGGTTCAGATCCCACATATGAGGGCCAGTGACGCTGCCCTCTACAGCTAAGATGCTGAACAACAGCTCAACCTGGAGCTGTGATGCTGTGAGTCGCCGGCTACAGCGTAGGCTACAGCCCCTGTGGCAGTAGGTTGCCATGGGCTCCCGTATGTAGTCAGCAGCCAGCGTGAGCAGCCAGCAGCCGCAGTGAGCGGCCATCCAGAGGCCGGCGACTGATCTGCCTCGCCCGGGAAGAGCGCAATGATGGTGCCAACTTGGGCCAGTGAAGAAATGTCCTCCACAACTAGACTGAAGAACAAAAAACGACAGCAACTTGTCTGTTCCCCTTCCCTCAATTCCCCAGCACTGTTCCGATCCCCCAATTCCCCAATAAAAATCTTTAAAACAAACAAAAAAAAATTATGGAATCCTAATTTTAATGATACACGGATTCCCCTGGTTCTATTGTTTTTTAATTTGTCAGGACTCTACACTCCCATAAGAACACCCTTGGGATTTTAGGATTATGGTATCTAAAATATCCCCCTCCTGAGAGACAGAAAAGGCAGAGGCTGTTCCAGATAAGCCACTTCTGTCTTATCTCCACATTTTCTCACTGTCTACTTGTTACTTCATAGTGATCTGAAAAATCAAAATGGTCTTGATAAGTTCAAGATATTTAAAAACTTGGGGTCTTGTAAAAAGGCTTTTCCTCAGGCAGCAGCACTTTTTCTGAGGCATATACCACGTACCAGAAGCCAGATTTACATGGAAATGTCTCGTGTGCTTTGTAGATAAAGGTATTAAAACTGAAGGCAAAGAACATTACTCATACAAGTAAAGATACAATTCAAACCAAAAATGCCAGCCCCTGAAAGAACCAATCTATAAAGAAGTTTAAACCCAGAGAGCTTCTACCCATCCAAATAACTGTCCAAGATCGGGGGATGTCGCTGCCTTTGCACAGGAGCCAATAGGAAGACCCCAACTGATAAATCATTTCACTTCTTGCTCACCGAGGAGAAACACGAGCCTGACTTACTTAGACATTAACTAACATGATTCATACAGAATGGCTTTACAAAGAGTTTTATTCCTATCCCAGTAAATTATGTCTCAATTTTAAAAATAACATCCTAAGGCCCACACGTCATTCAATCTGAGTCACAGGAGCTAAAACTCAAGGTCTTCAATTTAAACACCAATTATTTTTTGGGGAAAAAACCACCACACCCCAATTTCTTCACTTTTTCTAGCTAGAAATTTAAAATGGCTTTCTAGCTCCGACCATATCCTAGAATTTACTCGGGAAAACGTTTCCCAGCTATTCTTCTCTGTTCCTGTGATAGAGAGCGGTCTAAGAGAGCTGCCTCTGGATACAGTCAGCCAAGTCACTGAGCACTTCGGTCCCACCTTCTGTTGGGACAGCACACACCATGGTTAGGAGCAAGCCCCTCCACTGTCAAGATGTGGGGTTCAGCAGTCAAGATCTGGGGCTCACCAACCCTGCCTCTCATTAGTGTGTATCTTTGGGCTTGGGCAAGTGACTTTTTTTCTGTGCCCCAATTTTTCCATCTGAGAAGTAGAAATACTACCACCTACAAAAATGACAGGAAGAAAATGTACAAGGAAAGTAAAAGTCTCCTACATAATTAACCTGGCAAGTCAGTTCACATTCTTTAGCTTCATAGTATCTACGAAAAAAGAGGCATATACTATCTCCATTTTTCAGGTTATTATGATTTACTTGCGGCATAGTTCAATAGTTTAAATAAACCAAACTCCTCACATCTTATTCCCCTGTACTTGCTACTATTATAATACTGAGGAGAAAAAGATAGCTTTTGGGAATTAATTTTAAATCTCTCTTAGAATTAAAACAAACTCCTTCCAAATGAAAGTTCTTCATGTTACAAGAAAAAGAATTCTAAAATTATTTAAGTATTTCAGGAAAGACACAAGAAAAGTTTTCTCCCAACAGACTTAATATTAAGGAAACCTACCTTGGCCCTCCCTATGTTAGAATTAAAAGATAACATTTTCATTAATAAGATGAGTATATAAATAAATAAGATTAGCAATCCATTTATAATGAATCATGTTCTTATTTTCCCTTTTATATACAATTGTCAAAAAGTAGCCAAACGCCCCTGAACTTGGTATTTTTGTGCTGTAAGCATAATCACCTATTCCAGTGGTAACGATTCAATTATTCAGGGCCTAACTTTCCATTTTAAAGACTTTCCTGTGCCTTTTGCTTCTCAAGCTCTCCTTGGGTTCACTGGGCCTCATTACTTGTTAATACCACCAGTGGGGAAGCACCAGAGGCCACTGGCTCAGATGGCTGGTCAGCAAAGCTGAAACAGAGCGCCCCCCCCCAGAGGTAAGATTACCACGACCCGACCCGTATCAACTGTAAATTATAACAAAGACAATCTGGTCCGTCCCCAGGCTAATGATTCGAGTGGTTTAACCGCTGAATTTCTCTGAACAAGTAAGAACAAGACACCACCAGGTTGAATAACAATGCGTTGTTTTCTTCTGTGATACCAATACACAGGTTTTAGAATGGGAGTGAAGGTCATTTTCCACAAACAGCAGTTAAAACAAAACAAAAACTACTACTAAGGAGTTTTACTTGCAGTAAGAGCTCAGAAATGTTTAATTCTTTAAACATAGCTATTTATATTCCTGTTCTCAGGCATCAAAACTACACACAGAGGGGGGAAAAAAGATCAATACGAAGAGTTAGACCTACTATACCTTCACATTATTGGGTTGTCAGGAAAGTCATGACGCATTTTTGCAATGAAAAACATAGAAAAAATACGTTATGACTTTTCCGACAACCTAATAGTACGAACATACTATAGCAGAATTCACATACCGGTACAAGTAAAGAAATATCCACGCTGACACCATGAAAGTAATCACCGCACACTTTTTTAAGGAAAAGTCTTATAATCCAAAAGGATAACGGAAACTCATTCACTATTGCAGCTGTACCACAGTTAGATGTTCGTGGCAGCCTCTATTCTCTGGTTTTCTTTCATGCCTGAGATGCCCCAACTACCACAGTGAACCAAGCTCAACAACTTTTCTGTAAATCATTTTTAAAAAAGAAAAAATTTGACGGGAAGGTTTTTAAAAGATGAAAGCAATACACTCAAGTCTCCTCCGCATAGAAGGATCTCTCTGCACTTTAGATTAATTGCTCCTGAATAAGTCTTACCTACATCAGAGTTACTGATCCCTCCTCCCTTCCCCACCCCACCCGGGGAGTTGCTTTGGATTTCTGGTAAAGGCTGGATGTAGGGCAAGTCCTATTATCAAGAGCTAATTAAATTACAAATCTGGTTGTGCAAGAATTGTGATATACAGAATTGTGCTTGACATTATGAGGCTCGAGCTTAGGAATCTGCCAGTGAGGGGCTTCTCTGTTAAGGTGAGAACTGTTAAGGGTCAAAATCTTTGGGTGCCTGTTTCACAGCAGCGTCCCTCTAATGTTTCTGCACTGCGGCGAGACTGTCCCCCCAGGGTGCCCATGAAGCACTCTCACAGGAAGCCCAGGCTCCCTGCTCTCTCCCTGACCCCTTGCCAGCAGCCCTTTTTCAGAACAACATGATGATGACAAAGTAAAAACACTTTGAAACAGGATTTTGCATACATATACATTTTGCATACATATACATATACATACATGAATGCTTATAGTGTCTCTTAAAGATAAGTGAATTGAAGCCACACAATCTCCTTGCCTTAAAGGCAATAATGGTTTATAAACTATTAGAAAATAAGTTGGCTTCTGAAATACCAAATAAGAGGTTCAAAGAAGGGCTTTCAAAGGTTCATGAAAACTCCTAACAAATACAAATTTGGGGATGGGGTGAAGGAAGGAATGTGTGCAGACACATGCCGTTTTGCTGGGGAGAGGGTGCATAGCTCCCTCAAAGGGGCCAGGACAAAAACAGCTGAAACCATTGCAATCAAGTAAGATCACTTTTATTTATTCAAATAATAATTTCAATTACACGGAAGAAACTGCGTTATTTAGCTCACGCAATGAAAACAGCAGAGACTCTGAGCACACTTCCTACCTCTGTGTCCCAGGAATCATGAAAGACGGGGTTTCTGCTACTCCTCTTGGTCTGGGGGGGAAGATGGTGGTCTTCTTCATTGCCATTCCTTCTCCTTTTCCTGAAATTAAATCACAAGAAAGAAAAAAAATCCAACAATTGATCTTTCAGACACTTAAAATTGTGAACCATGACAATATATACATATGCCCTCTCGCCTGAAGAAATATTTTATCACATGACATCCTAATAGGTAAAAACTGGAAGTACACCACCCCTGGGCACAAAGAGCAAAAAAATAAAATAGTAGCAGTACAGTCAAGCTAAAATTAGTGTGACTAATTTCTGAAACGAAGCTTGACAATTTACGCCTACTGGGAAAATAAGAGCAGGAAAACGTCAATGACGGGGCCTTCCTTCAAACCCCACCTAATTAAGGTTACCGTCTTTCTACAGTTCCTGAAATTACAATTCCAAGTTACCTGATTTTACTCCCTTCCACATGATAACACCTAAGACAGGGGTGGTCGCCTTTGCCTATTTTACCCTTAAAATCCATATAAAAACGGTGCTACACTGGCAAATCCATAGAGGTTCATGGTAGCCGCTAATCTTTAGTTTTCCTTCGTCCCTGACTCTTCCCCAATTATCACTTACACAAAAGCTCTATGCCCTCTAAAAAAATACATTCCTTTTCTGGACAATCACTGAAAAAGTGGGTCTTGGACACATAAGCTTGATTATTTCAGCCACACCACTTCGTGTTATGATAGATACCATTTCACCAGATTGTTACCTTGAGACTGTAGCATAAGCTGCTTAAAATGTGCAGATTTAAAGAAAAATCACACATCTTTCTCGGTCAAGTGTTCTCGGGTGTGTAATAGAGACAAAACTTTTATGTTTTCTACACAAGAATCAAGTGCTGTTAGAAGAAATTCTAAACCCCAGTTAGAAAATAGAAATAAATTATAGGAGGTATAATTTTAAGGTATAAATTCAAATTGCCTGAATTGTGCTGTCCGATATGGTAGTCACTAGCGTATGTGGTTATTTAAATTTAATTAAAATAAAATGGAAAGTTCCTTAGTAACCCTACCCACATTTTCAGCGCTTACTGGCCACGTGTAGCTACTGGCAATTGTATTGAACAACACAGGTACAGCAGGGTCCCAACACTGCAAACAGTGCTGACTAGAGGCCAATTTACACAGAGCAGCATAATCTGCTATAATGAAAACTCTTAAATGTCCCAATTCCTCTAGCTAGAGGAAAAAGCAGCTTTTTGGAAAGCACTGAATTCGAGCATATAGTCTTCTATATACCTTCTACGTGAGTGGGGTGGCTTGAGTTGAGGTCTGGATATTGAAGAAACATTGTTATCACCCTGAGTTCAACTCCCTGTACTCTGCAACATTTTGAATACATCTAAGTTTGTGAATGAGTTTGGAGCCAGTTTAGGCTTGGAATGGTGAATAGCGGGTGTGTGGTTATGATAAAGCATTAACCAATGAATCGGTAGAGGACTACACCGTTTATTAGCTGATTCTAAACCTCAACTGTTTGTAAAAAAAGATCCCCATTTCCGCTTCCTACCTTTCTCCCAGGAGATCAGATCATATCTACACATGATCTGAAGTACGTGGAGGCTAAAAACTAGATGAATACCAGCTTTTAATAATCATTAAAAAGGTGTGCTATTATCATAGATTTGAACCAAAAAATTGCTACTTTTATCCTACTGTGACCGGAGAATGTTTGTGGGAATGTGATGAAGTAACAGAGCAATGTCTAACTGAAGGCAAGCTGACAAACACCCAAAAAGAAACTCATCAAATGGCCGTATGTTGGTTCCCAAACTCTTTTATCAGTGTGACAGCAGCTGATTTTGCTTTGGGCTGCTGAGTCACTCTAACCAAACTTACGAGGCTGACCAAAACTTTCCGATTTCCTCACTTATAATGGGGTACATATCTTTCCAGTGACAAGAATATGAATGTCAGGGAGGGTTGCAAAAAGAATGTAAGAACAGAGGATGGGCTGATTTTGCAGATTTCAAACAAACTCTGGGAAAGTCACATGAAATATCCCAGCCTCATAATCAGTTGATTTCTCCAAGTACCAGAATTATCTCTTTGGCCTGGTGGGGGGCCCTCTCTTTTGGATGGAACTGGATTAAGAATGAGCTCTACCTGTTCTTCAATTCTTTTTCTAGGCTCTCTGCTGATTCTGTCCTTGAAACATTTTTCTTTCAACAGTATCATTAATATTGGCAAGATTACAGCTTCATGCTGAACTCTATCCGCAGTCAGTCAGATTATAGTTTTCAACATCAATGACACAGACCAGGTTATCATTTTAGCAGCCACCCTATAATTGATTATATTCTCCCTAGCTTTCTATTGTAGTTACAGATTATGTTTAGCATCTGTTACTTCTAAGGGTGGCTGATTACATCACTTTTCATCATTTCATTTCTCTGCAGTCTTCCTGTCATCACCTAGACACCGGGCATAGAAGAAAGCCTAACGAATGGAGACTAGTGGTTTTCAAAACAATATTTTTAAAGTAACAGAACCCTTTGTTCTTACAGGGGGGGGAAAAAATCCCTCAATATACTCGTATATGAGATAAAGGATAATGTTTTGGTCAAAGTAAGGGCTTCCTTGCCACACACCCACTCCTCTGTGGCCATCCCAGTATACTGTGGAACAACTGGAAAAAACACCACCTTTGACCAACGGCTTCATCTTAAAACGGGAGAAAACAGAACCAAAAAGTGAACTGACTTGGAGATACTAAGATAGCTGGAGCTGACAGAACGGGTCCATCACACATGAAACATGGGGTGAAGAGAGAAGTAGATAAGAAACCCTTGTCCAAATCAAATGACCTCTTTTATAGAAATGGAGTTGCCAGTATAAACACGTTGACATATTTGTATACTAGAGAAAAGGAATCTGTTACCAGTAAAAACAACACTCAGAGTGCTTGTGTACAGTGCTGGATAAAAGGAACCTTTTTTTGTACAAAATATTTTGACTTCTTCAGATACGTGAGAGCTTCCAAGCGAGTATCAGAAGTATAAACTGGGTTTGAGAAGGAAAAGAAATGGCAGTCAGATCAGCCTTGTCAGATCAGGCTCACTCCGCCTAAGGATCCTGTTCCTAATGCCAACAGCATGTCGGTAAGTGGGCTCCCCATCTCAAATGGGATCCACTCATATTTTGTACATAAGGAGACTTTATGCCTGCCTCACTCACAACACGACCCAAATCAATAATCCTATGCTGACGTTTGAGGAGCCCTAGATTTTCACTATTGGACCCAATAACCTCAGGACGCTTTTCAGAATCTGAATCCCGTGAATTAACTATCCTTCAGAGCAGGGTCCGGGCCGAAAGACTGTCAATTACATTCAGAGCCAATGAAAACATGGAACGACGAGGAAACGCACAGCGTACTCTGCCCAGGCAATCCTATTTTATTCGCTTAAACCTCACTGAGGCTATTATGGAATCAAACAAAGCGCAGTGAACCTGGGAAGACCGAGGTCAACCAGCTGAGCTTTCCAGATCTGTCTCTTCACTAGAAAAATGAAAGAGTCGGACACGGTGATCGATAGGTCTTCACTTCAAACTCCACTGATGAGGGATTTCCCTAAATGTGAAATACAGCTGATTGATCCTCTTCATTCCGGGGTACCCAGCCCCAACTTTCTCCTCCCATATCGTTACAGGGGTAAATAAAAAGAAAAGAAATCGCAGCTTAGCGTGGTCCGGGCTCTACTCAGTAATTCTCAGGCAAGCAGCGTGAAACCCCTAACCCAGGTCTAAGGCCAGGCTCCGTGCAAAAGGCGTGCGTCGCGATATAATCCTACCTCCCGCCTTCGGAGTCAAACGGCTCCGCATCCAGACAGTTTAGAACCCTGTCTGTGCTAAAGGCTGCTCCAGCCAGAGCGAGACTCCCCAAAGCCACTTGGGTCATCTGCCCTTCCGTGTTCACAACCGTCCAGGGCACCAGTTCTTCGGTCTCACCTAATCCTTAGGCCCGGCTGCAGAATTAAGCCCAACCCTTCTTTCTGACCTTGGGGAGCCGGCAGCTCCCCGCCCCGTCCTCTCACAGACGCCCTAGGGGCCCCGTCTCCTCACGGATGCCCTAGAGGCTCCCCACGCAAAGATCAGACATTCCTCCCATCCCCCCACCCTCCTAAATTTAGGGCCACCGTCTCTCTTCCGGGATCCACCAGACTTCACTCCAGATAGAGAAAGATACGGGGGAAAAGATGGGGTTGCAGGGGAGACCTGGACCCTGAAGTCACTCCTCCAGTACCCTCAAGGACCAGGTACCCGATCAGTCACACATCCCTCTCCTCTCCTCCCCCCCAGACCCAGATAAGGACCCGCAGCGCCCACGCTTGCTCGGACCCCGCTTCGCGCGCCCCCTCGACTCCATCCCCCAAGACAGGCGAGGGGCTGGAAGCGGAGGGGGGGTCTCTACAGTCTCACCTGGGGCGGAGGCGCTCACTCATGGCAGCGGGTGGAGGGGAGCGACGCAGCGCCGCTCCGCGAGCAGAGGGAACAGAGGGTGTTGTGTTTCCGCGGCCGCCACGCCCACCCCCTCGGGCCTTGGCTCTCGCCGCGGCTCGGGTGGACGCTGCCGGCGGTGAGTACCCCTCGGTGGGACCCGTACCACTGCTACTTCCGGCGTCTGCTCCGCGCCCCCCCATGTCGCAGCCGCCGTGGTACCGCCCTCTCGAGGCTGCGCAGTGGCGCGATCTCGGCCTCTGAGACCGGTAACCCCACCCACAGGAAGAGGCGGGCCCGGAGAGGGAGGAGCTACTGGGAACTTCTGGGAGAAGGGGACTTCATGCGAGGTGGCCCAGGCTTTCGCCTGTTCGCAACGAAGCGGGGCCCGTGTAAAAGCCAAACCAGGTTTAAATGAAATTAAATTGCGTCATTAATAATAGTACATAATGAGTATTTGAGTTAAGACCTTGTGAGGCAACAAATGTTTTTTAAAAATCGCTGAGAAGCATCAGGCAGTCATGTAGACGGCTTGCCGCGGGTCCCGGGACCGGGAGTTGGGAAACCGCCTGTGGGCGTTTCTGGGGTGGGGGGAGGGACTTGTTGCGTGGGCTTCCTAGAATTTTATATCTTGCCAGGTGAGAATGCTACTCGAGGGGAGGGTCGACGGGCGGGGCTTTTTCCTACGGATGCCACCGCCCTAGGTCTGGGGGCGACTGTCCCGAGCCGAGAGGGGAGTCGATCGGGTGATGGGGCAGGTGGGGGGCTTCCCCCAAGCCGCAGAAGGAGCCCCGGCGGCTCGGGCGCCGTGGGCCTGGGGCTGCGGGCAGGCGGGCCTCGGACCCAGGTGCTGCCGGGGGCGGGTCCCCGCCCACTGCGCTGGAAGCTGCTCGCGAGCTTTATAAAAAGTAAGAGCGTTGGGAGGAGGGCAGGCGGGGTGATGCGGCTGGGAGAGGAAAAGTCCGCAGGAAAGCGTAGGACGTGAAGGCGAAGGTTAGCATAAACTTTGAAATCGGCCAGAAGTCTGAACTCTCCCGCTCTCCGGAACACGGAAGGGAAACTGTCCTGCTGATAACCCAGTTATGTGTATTCGGCGAGTTACTTCTCTGATTGTGTCTTGCACAGGCTGACATTAAAATCTAGTTTCCTTCCGCCAAACTCGGGAACGGCGATCGTGAAGCGTGCGGATCCAGGAGAAACAACCGCAAAATTAGCATCCTTGTACACTAGCTCTGATAAGAAAGCAGGCACCCACGATGAGACGTTACCGTGTGAAGGTATAGAGAGATCTTTCTCGTAAGGTTAAGTGTGAGGGTGGAATACTGTCTTAACAGAGGCTCAGAAAGCTGTTAGCCTAAGGCCCAGGGACTGGCTCCAGTTTTGTATGTTTTTGTAAATAAACGGCCCATAACTTGCATTATATTGTCAAAGGGGTACCTGCAAAGTAAGAATAATTAAAGTTTGTTGGCAGAAAACGGTTTTGTTTTGCCGGGCTTCACATCAGATAAGGTGGGTTGGTTGCTTTGATAAATGGTTTGGCCAGGGTGATGTGTATTCACTTTGTAAATGGTTTCAGAGGCTCACTTTTTTACCTATTTAGTGGTCGGAAGATATTCACACTTACAATACTTTATAATAGTCGCGTGTTTATATCCAGAGAAAGAATTCATTGAACAAGGATCCCATGCCAGGCTCAGTACTAGGTTTTGAGAATACTGTGCACAAAATAGACATGTCCTTGCCCTCTGGAACTTTACGGAAAGAAGAAATGTAAAAAAATAAATAACCTTCAACTGAGCTTTGTAATACAACATTTCTTTTTTCTCACTGGAAAGTAATAAAGAGGTATAAATTTTGTTAATTTTTTATGTGGTATAAATTTCACGAAGTGTCAAAACTAAGCAAATTTGCCAATAATCTGTTGTACTACAAACTATCAGTAAAAAATTGGGGACGTGTTTCCTCCATGTATATATTATTTGTGCATTATATATACCTTATGTATGTATATATACACATACGCATTACTAATATGTTAAATGTTAGTAGAGCTCCATTTCTCATGCTTAGATAATGGAAGCTCTAATATTCTTGCACCCCATGAATCTTCCATATCTATCACTTTGGAAACCACTATACTCACCCACCTCCAATTCCTGGCCGAGTTTTTTAGTCTTCACCATTATCTCCTTGAATAATGTATGTGTTTAAGGGTTTACAACAATTTCTTTATATCCATGTGATATCCAGTTGACTTGCTACAGCCTTAAACAGCAAACCTTTTATTCCGGTATCTGGATACCTCTTCCTTCCACTAACCATTAATTCATTAGACGTAAATCTTTTCGTCTTGCTCACCTCCTAGTCAGGGATGTTGAGAACCCTCTGATAGTATTCTGTAACAGTTGATTCCTAGAAGACTTCCTAATGTAAAATACCAAGTGTAAATGGAGCCAGAGGCATTTATCTTAAAATCAAACTATGTCTTCTAGTGCCTCCCTCTGTAAGAAAAAGAATGGATCAAAAAAACTTTTAAAAAATTATCTTTAACCTAGGTTCTTCCAAATGAATTTAAAAGGTATGACACAAATAAAATATTGGTATGTACTCTGAAACTGTGTGCTCCTCATACTCTCCTATTTACCTTTTTCAGGACTAGGAAACTGATATTCCACCCAGAATGGAAGTGTGTCCTTACTGTAAGAAACCATTTAAACGATTAAAATCCCACTTGCCACACTGTAAGATGATAGGACCAACTATACCTGCTGATCAAAATGTCTGTCAGTCCAAGCAGGCTACACTCTCACCTGCCAAGAAAATGAAAAGTCCAATCAAAGACTTAAATAAAGCTAAAGAAAGAGAGTTGGGGACAAAGAGTGAGAAAAGAAATACTAAGTTGATAAGGGACAAACCAAAACAGACAACTGAGTCATTTCCAGTACCAGCTACTGGTTTGGAAAGAGCAAGTAATACAAAGGCAGATAAAGACATCAAAAATCAAATTCAACTCTCCTTCAAAATATTCAAAAATCCTGAACCAAAGATTACTTCCCAAGGAGAAACTAAGGCTCGGTTTTGTGCATCAAAGAACACTACTAAAAGAGAACTTCCCAAAGAGTTGCCTAAATCAGGGGAAAGAAGAAGTAATCCTTCAGAAACCAAAGAATCTTTACCTCTGGGCCCAATGGAACCTTGTTTATCAAATCAAGATAGGAAACATTCTTCAGCCTTACCTAATGATGTACAAACCACTTCTGCTCATTTAAAATTGGATAAAATCGATCCCTCAAGACAGAAGCTTCAAGTAAAATTACTAGATATGCCTATTGGTGATTATCATAGTTCTCCCAGAAAGCTCAATTATGGGGATGAAAGAGTAAGAACGTCATTTTTAAGTGATGAGAGAGACACCAAGGCCAGGGATCACCTCTCAGAAGTCTCTACTAACGTTAGAGAGACTGAGAATCAGGAAAAGAACAGAGAGTCACAAATTTTAGCTTTTAAAGTTAGCCCATTAGGTAAAATCCAAGTCAAGAAGAACCAAGGAAAAGGACTGATCCTCGAAGTAGAGGCACATGGGAACAAAGGACATGCAGAGAAAAGTGTATCGGTGACAAAAATGCAGGAATGCCCTTCCGTGAGTGATGACTCGAAGAACTTCAGTACTGATGATTCAGCCACAGAGACGAAATCTCGAGATGAATGTCCCAGTTTAAATTTGTTCACACCAAGGGAGACAGCTTGCAATGAGTTTCTTTCTGTGTCACAGTCACGTAATCCAAGTCTTGCCTCTCTGGCTATAAAATTTCTTCAAGAAGAGAAAGCAGCAACCTGCAATCGTAATCGAGTCCCTGATGCAAAGGCATTGATGGAGAGCGAGGACCAGGCTTCTCTGCAGCCCCCTCCTGGCTGTTGGCCCCAAGCCTCAAACCCGGGGTGCCAGCAGTCTTTACATTCAGCCCAGCGCCATATTTCTAAAAGTCCCTTCACCCATCAGATGGATGTTCCTGAGAAGAAGGCCCTTCCCAGCTCTCTGGGGCTAGAGTGGTTTCCAGAGCTCTATCCTGGTTATCTTGGATTAGGGGTGTTGCCAGGAAAGCCTCGTTACTGGAATTCAGTGGCCCAGAAGCCCCTGCTCATCAGCCCCCAGGGGGAAAGACTTTCACAAGGTAAACGTGCTCAATTTCAAGGGCCATCCAGCCCATATAGACCGCTCTGTGCCTTTGGAATTTATGAGAGTCAGAATACTATTTTCATTCACTTAGCTTATTTTTACCGGGGCATTCAAGTGCACTGGACTTAAATTGTTCTGAAAACATTATTTCTTGTTTCAGGGGTAACAATGGTTTATCACTCTCCCATCCCCTCCACCAATAGTTGAAGGTTGGCTTAAGACAGGCTGGCTGGTATACTGAAAGCAGTTGAATTTCAACATTGGGAAGAGGCATGGCCAATAGAAATTGGGTGGGTACTCAAGCTGAATGGACTCAAGAAAAGCATCAAATTGTAAGGATCAGCCTAAATAGAACAAGCACTGTGTTCGGATTTCAATCAGGACCGGGTTGTACACAAAATAGGTTCCGGGTTTATGGTCAAATGCAGCATCTGGGAATTGAGAGTAGCAGGGTACAAGCAGACACAATTTTTTGATTTGGGGGCAGGATGAGATTAAAACTGTACAGGGAGGCATGGCCTTCAAGGCAGATAGTTAGTTGGAAATGGAGGTTCAGGAGATGAGGACCAGGAATAGAGGGTGCTGCAAAAAAGGTGTAGAAGTCCGTGCACTAGAAAAATTCGTCCACAAAGAATAGGTAGCACCCAAGAATGGAACCAGAGACAGCCTCAAGACGTAAGAGATTGGGGGGTGGGGGGGTGAGACATTGAAACTGATCTGAATTGTGAATCAGTCTCTTGAGAAGCTTCCTAAATGCTCCTCATTGGTGCCTAGAATAGCTTAACTAGTGGGTCGGACTGAGGCCCCAGGTAGGAGCGAAGAAGTTCCCATCAGTCATTTCAGGTATCCTCGTTTTTTCCTGCTGAATCTCACCTTTAGTTATTAGAGCACCTCTCTAGTTACAATATAGAAAGTTTCTTCATTTTCCTCACCAGGAAGCTTTGGATTTTTTCCCTTTTTTTTAGGTTTTCCAGGGGCATAATTGGCTTAATGTAGCACCCGTCTCTTTTGTGTGTGTATCGTGTGATTGATGCTTTTAGATTTATTTTGACAGGAGACCTGTCGTGACTCAGAATAGGTTCACACCTGAAAAACTTGTATTATCTCTTCCTAAAGGGATATATTTTTCCCTCTGATATATTTTATAAATGATCACATAGTCACTAAACCCGCTTGTCAGGTTTAAAAAGCATTTTCTTTTGTATTTTAATTATCCCTTTCTACAGATTTCAAAATGGAAGTGCATTAAGTAAAGACTTGCTAGCTAAAGCTGCATTTTCTTCAACTGCCACAGCGATTATCGATTTTTCCACAAACTGGTCTAACATCTAAACTCTACAAAATTCTAGTCTTAAGCCCCTTCTCCATATGAAACATCGAGTGAATATTAACATTTTTGTAGCTGTGGTTTTCAGAGTGCTTCTGCCTATTTTCTTATTTTGGCCTCCCCACTTGGGCAGAGTGATTTTGTCTCTGTTTTGTAGGTGATGAAACACGCACAGGGAAAATGATTTGTCCAAGGTCATGCTGCCAATAAATGGTAAAGTTACAAGCAGAACCCAGTCTGCTGAGGCCTAGTTTAATCCTTTCCACTAAGCCATGTTGTAGAAAATACGCTGTGACTAGAAACATAGGTATCTGTTATATCTCTTTCCTTCTCAGTTGCATAAACACACAGCCCATAGCAAATCTCTCTAGCAAGTAGACTTCTTTATTGTCTGTACTATGCTTTATAGTGTTAAGGAGTGTCCTCCATACATCCACTTTTCATTTTAAATGAAAAAAGGAGGGAACTGGCATTTGTCAAATGATGACTATTTCAGTCATTGTGCTAGGTACATTACATTATTATCTCATTTAACCGTCATAACAAGCCTGAAGTGATGTCACTGCCCGTCCTCTTTGACAGGTGGGGAATCTGAGCCGCAGACATCTTAGTAACTTGGGCATGTTCACACAGCAAGCGGCGGTCAGGATTCAAATTCAGGTCCATCTGACTTGCACATCCACGGTCTTTAAACCCTGCCTCAGGCTACTATTTGTGTCAATTAGTGGCAGGTATCATGGTTGATACAAGTTAGTTGACACACTCACTTTAATGGGTCCCAAGAATACAGTCATAATAAGGTAAGAGATACAGTAACGTCTTTAAATCACTAGGCTTCTGAGATTCAATATGGGGGGAAAATACAATCTTTCCTTCAACAATAAAGTTCTTCCAGAATAGCGGTTAGAAACTATTTTGTTTCTAGACTTTTACAGTCCATAATATGTGATTAGTTTGGGTTTCTGTGAAACCATGTGTGGCTGTCACAGGGCCTCTAGTTCTGTTATAAACTGAAAATCTATAGAAGTTGGCCCCACAATTAATGCTCAGATTCTGACGCTGCCACTGAATGAACAGAAGACACTAGAGGAGACCATAGGATCTCAGGTCAGGACCTGATTCCTCAGTTGGCCAAGGACAGCTTCAAGGCCATCTAAATCTACAAAGAGTAAAAGTGTGGCTCCTCAGCGTTGTCATTTCACCAGGCGATGGCCACCTCCAGTGACCGCAAATTAATTTGAACTTGCCTGAAGTCTTTGCAGGAGAACATGGGCTGTCCGTCCATTTGGCCTTCTTTGTCTCAGGAAGCCAGCTCATTTCTTTGATACTTAACAGGCAGGGCCAGTGAGCTAACAATTGAGTTAATTGTGATGCCTGTATGTTTAGTAGATTATCTCAGGTAAACTTATACCAATCCTGGGAGACTGGTCTTAGCCCCTTCTATAGATGAGTTTCAGAGAGGATAAATCACTTACCAACATCAAGTTTCAGTTGATGGTTGGCATCTAACATTGTCTGATCGTCTTTGCCAAGCTTTTCCAGGCATTGTTTTCTTCTGTTGGACATTAGGCTTCAACATGATGTCAGATACGCTTTCCTACACACGGAAACCTGTAACAGCCGCAAGTTCTCATACACAGAGTACCTGAGTAAACTTAGGTGAAGTGATTGCACCAGAAGAAAAGGTAACCAGGGCCTTGAGAGGCATAAAAGACTATCTTATCATTTGGATGAAACAAGGTAGAACCAAAAGCTCTCATGGCCAACAAAAAATGGATGTATTTTGGTGACCTACGCTAGGAAATCCCAAGGGAGACTGATAGTTCTGAGGGTGCCGCAGAGTTTTAGTCAATCAGGGATAAGAATTCAGCTTACGGAGTTTGGCAGCATCAGGCACCATCTTTTGAGGTTCAGGGAGAAGGCTTTTCATGGACTCACTACCAAAATGGGTAGTTTTCCTGGCCTTGGAGAAATTCAATTTTAGAAGTTCAAGATTTAAATCTCAAGAGACTCAACAAGTACAAGTGTCAGAGAGTCCTCAGCAATAGAAACTCATATCCGTTGTTCAAAGGAAAGCTTTCAGAGTCCCCGTAGCCTTGAGAGCGCTCAGTCAGGGGCACAGGGGGCTTTCGGGACTCAAGAGTTTAAAAAGAGATCTGGGTCCTTGGTTGCCAAGTCTGGAAAGTCAGCAGTTTCACACGGGCACTATTTAGATTAACGATTCATAGGCATCATTCCCAGAGACCGAAGGCCTCAAAATCCTCTATCTTCACACTTTTCCTAAGTGTTTCTGAAGAGCAGCCAAGTTAGAGAACTGCTGAGTGGGTGCTGGCACTGGGGCAGGTGCCTCAGACCCAGCGAGAGGATATCCTCAGACAAATGGTGGGGGAGGGGAAGGTGTTTGGAAAAAATATAGTCCACACAACTACAGAAAGCAAAACTTGGCTGATGGGGATATCAGAAGGTAAAGTAAGAAAACCTTATAGGGTCATGGGTTTTTAAAAGCCGAGAAACAGCTCATCTTGAAACAGCATTTCCATCCATCAGGATGGTCTAGGGGAAGGGGCTCAGAATAGTCAGGATCAGAGCTAGAGCAGCAATATAACAAGCCAGGGTGTAGGTCCTGTTGGCCTGAGGAGTCCATGAAAGGGGGTGTTTTAGATTTTTTTAAAAGCCTGTGCGTTTAAGGGGTAAGATCATACACCTGGGATTCCAAGTAGGTCAGAAGGGTGTTAGGAAATATTAGGTCTGGAGGGTAGGTGAGGGTTTTCAGTGGTTGAATTAGAGAGTGGAGGCAGTGTCGCTGGAAGGTTAACCACACATGTTGGATTTGAAATGGACACTGGTGGGTATAGGGCAGTGTCTAGGAGATGAGGTGACAGAGGCACAGTGGGTATTCCAGTCCCAGGCCCACAACCAGGCCAACAGGGATGGAAATCAGAACCCAGAGTACCTGGGCACCAGGCAAGAAGGCACTGGAAAAACTCTTAACAGGACTTCTGTGGGGGCTGAGCTGGCCTCTCCTGGGCTTCTTAGATGTCCCAGTTCAGGGCCTGAACTAATGTCATACAAGTCAATTTGAACCTGAACCAAAGTAAATAGGATCAACTGGCTGGAGACAGAACCGAGGCGAGCCACACAGTTCCTGACACTGCTGAGAAAGTGGGTGCAGTTGTGTCTCCCCATCTTTTCAAGTTTTTTCCAGGTGAATGGGCTATCATGCTTTTTTTTTAAGAGACTATTTTTCACCTTGCAAGAAAATTTTCTTCTGTGTAACTTCTTAGAAGCTAGTAGCATGGTTCTTTTCATTGTGACCTAATACGATGATGATCATTTGCATATATTTTTACACCCACAACAACTTTTACCACACTTGCTAAACCTGTCGTAAATATTTGCTTAATTTATCCATTATCCCTGATGAAGCAAACCAAGACCAGAGAATCGGCGATAGAAGACATTCCCTGCCTATAATTAAACAGAGAAAAAATGGTGCAGGAAAAAATGTAAACACATGGCCAGGCCCTCCTTTCTGGTTCCACTTTGGTTATTCGTGTGTTGAACATAAATACGAAATGTTGACCGGTCAGCAGTAGCAACGTGGTACCAGAATAGATGTGCTGAGCGTAGTAGATACAGTGACAAGTAGCAGTAGTTGATATTGAAATCGTAGAAAGTCGTGCTTTTTGCTAAGATGTTTAGCAAGTGATAGAACTAGGAGCGATTCATTCCATTAGGCACATAGGCAGGATCATCTGAGCAGGGCATGCATTCAGATTGGAAGTGTATCCAGGTCCTGATCCCCAGGGCTCCCTCAGCCTTTGAAAAGCCTTTTTTTGACGTGCAATAGAGCTGCAGCCCAGTGCAGATGTTAATCCACCTCTTCAAATATACTTTCCCTGCGGCTTAGCCCTGGGACCCTTGAGTACTGAGTGTCTAGGAAGAGGATCCGTTTAGATGAAGTATCACAGTGACTTCTGTTTGGAACCGTAGTTCCTTTGTTGGGAAGAAGTTTGACTGCTCTGAGGAGTTGGGAACCACCAGCCAGGCTTGCAACCTCCACCGTTGCTCTAATGAGACTCTTGGGAGCTGTGCAAAGAGGTGAGGCCGGAGTCATTAACTGTCGGGTTCTGTTGCTGCTTGCAAGCATTTGGAGAATTTTCTCTTTCTTTAGCCATGACTGTCACGGCAAGGCTAAAGAAAAGAGACAAATGTGTCGTCTTCCTGCTCTTGCATTTGTCTGCTTTCATTCTGGAGCCTGACATAACTGAAAGCACCAAAGCTAATAAAATAGCCGCTGCCATTCATTGAACAGCTTTCATGTTTTAATGCCTACCTCTGCCTCTCTGCCGCTTACCCCCATCTCTCCCTTGCCCGTGTTGATCATCCCAAAGCCAGTCAATCATATTAATCTTGCCACTAAAGATTTTAACCAAACTCCTAAAAACAAGAGTAACTAATTTAAATTTCTTAAACGTCTTCCAGACTTGAGCCTTTTCACCTGTTTAAATATACGTAGTGAAGGGCCGGCCGAGTGGCTCAGTTGGTTAAGAGCTCGCTCAAGAGTTTGAGCTCTGAGCAACAGCGGTTCGAGTCCAGCCCAAGCTGAGCAGCCGCTGAGCTGCCAACAGGTAGCAGGATGGCTCAGCTTAAAAAAAAAAAAAAAGTAAATATACGTAGTGATACGTAAATTCTTTAAGCTATAATACAGTTCCATCACCCAGGCTACCTGGGGTAATTTGCATAACGCGCAGATAATGCCAGTTACAGCTCACTGTGACAGCTAGACCTGTCTTTTTTAAACAGGGTGGATAAGGTGCAGCGCCAGAGTCGGTGGCCTCACGATGCTCGTCACCGGATACTTCGCTCTTTGTTATAGCTGGAGCTTCAGGCATCTGAGTAAGCCTTTCCATATTTTTAGCCTCGGTTACAGGTCACAGCCCATTAGAGGGGACCTCCAAGGGATTCTCAGAATTGCTTTTTGTAGTATTACAGTTTGGCACTGTCTGACGTGCACTTGTGAATGAGCTTTGCCCGAAGCACTGGAATTGTGTTTTAATTAAGAGGTTTTGGTTCTAATGGCCTTTATACGACTTGACTGGAATTTGCATAATTGCTCTTGTGCTCCATTTAAGGTTGTCACTGGAGATCTGCCTCCTAGATCAGGGTTCTTCTTGGTGACTTTTTTTTTTTTAAGATTTTATTAGGGAATTGGGGGAGGGGAACAGACAAGTTGCTGTCGTTTTGTTCCTCAGTCTAGTTGTGGAGGACCTCGCTTCACTGGCCCATGTTGGTATTATCATTGCGCTCTTCCCAGGTGAGGCAGTCACTCATCTGGCCATTGGACAGCCGCTCAGAGCAGCTCAGGAAAGTTCACGCACACTGCTGTCCAGCCCCTCTGCAGCCTACGCCCAGCTCCAGGTGGAGCTGTTGTTCACCATCTTAGCTGTAGAGGGCGCAGCATCACTGGCCCTCATTGGGATCCGAACCGGGGCCCTGCTGCTCAGAGCTGGCGTCCCAAGCCAACGCTTAACCAATGCGCCACTCAGCCAGCACTCCTTGGTGACTTTTTAATTCCTACCTAAGAGCTTTTTTTTTCTTTTCTGCTTGGATGACTCTTTTAATGGTGAGCTCCAGATCACCAACACAGTAACTGTCAATTCAACTACACCAAGGTTTCTGAAGACAATGGCTTCTGACTGAGCCCAAGCAGGTTGTAAATAAATTTCAAATGGAACCTGGCCATCACCCTGAAGGAATTCTAACTTCACACTGTTGGGGTAATTTACCAAGGTGGCTTCAGAGTTGACTAACTTTACACAGCACATTTAAAAAAACACATTTATTCAGCGTCATGATCAGACTATTCTATTTAGCAATCAATAGCAGGGGTGCAAAAAAAAAAACTACATTAAAACCCTTTGTTGGAATGCTTTACACTTTCCACAGAACAGAAACGAAAATGACCTGTTATACAATTAGTCACAAATACAGTCCTCAAGTTTTTTGCCCATACACATGAGTATTGTCTAAAACATGTCTTCTTTGTAGCAGCTAGGCCCTGCCACCACTGTGCTTGGCTAGGTTCACAAATCTGTCGTAACCTGTAGCTTCCCTGTCACTTCTCTGGCTCTCCTCTCCTGCAAAGCTGTTTCCTGGCAGTAATCAAAACCTTCTGTCACTGCCATAGCTGCTGCTGCTGCTGGAATCGCCATAGACACCTTGGTTTCGCGGTTTGGCAAAGTATTGGCCTCCAGACACCATAGGGGCCAGAGCTTCTGCCTCCAAAGTTGCCTCCTTTCATGGGTCCAAAATTTGAAGACTGATTGTGGTAATTGCCAAAATCGTTGTAGCTTCCACCACCTCCAAAATTGCTTCCATCACTACCAAATCCATTATAGCCATCCCCACTGTCACCATATCCTCCACCACCACACCTGCCACAAAATCCACCTAGACCACTGAAGTTTCCTCCATGACCCAAGTTGTCATTCCCACCAAAACCACCTCCTCCACCACCACCTAATTTTCCAGAACCACTTCGACCTCTTTGACTGGATGAAGCACTAGCCATCTCTTGCTTAGATGGGGCTTTCCCTACTGCACAGTTGTGGCCATTCTCAGGATGGTATTTCTGAGTGACAATCTTTGTCTACAGAGTCATGGTCATCAAAGATTACAAAAGCAAAACCTCTCTTCTTGCCACTGCCTCGGTCAGTCATGATTTCAATCACTGCCATTTTCCTATACTGTTCAAAACAATCTCTTAGGTGATGTTCTTTAGTGTCTTCTTTAATACCACAAACAGAAATCTTTTTCACAGTTAAGTGGGCTCCAGGTCTTTAAGAATCTTCTCTTGAGACAGCCGTCTTTGGTCCCACAGCTCTTCCATCCACCTCGTGTGGCCTTGCCTTCCTGGCTGCATGTACCCCTCCACAGTGGCATAGGTGACAAACCCAAAGCCTCTGGAGCGCTTGGGTCTCTCATCACCACACAGTCTGGGAGGTTCCCCATTGCTCAGAATGGCTCCTCAGACTCTCATCTGTTGTTTCAAAGCTCAAGCCTCCGATGAAGAGCTTCCACAGCTGTTCAGGCTCTTTGGGAGACTCTGACTTAGATATGACGACCGCGGGAAGGGAGACTTGAACGATGCTTACTTGGTGGCGTCCACCGACAGCTAAAGCAAGAACTTCTTTTTAGGATTGAAACCAAACAGCTTCCAGCCCACAAAAGAGAGGGAGAAACAATATAGCTGTCACTCGTCAGCGTGTCTGAGGCTTACGGCTGTCGTAGCTAATCTATTTTTAACATTTCAAAACAACTACCCTTCCAGTTACCATCTTCAGCTCGCACCAGATCTTACCAGGAGGGAAATACCTGGATTTCATTTCTCTTTTAGTTCAAGATGACTTTTGCTCATTTTTTAATTTATTGTTTTATAAAAATATATCCTTATAGTTAAAAGTTTAAAAAAAAGATGTATAAGATATTCAAAAAGCCCAGTATTTTCCCACAATTTAAACAAACAAAACCCCAGACACTTACAAATGAAAACGTTTGGCATAAAAGTACAAGATAACCACTAACGCTAAAAGTCCATAGAATTCACTTTAGAAAACTTCTAAAACACCAAATATGACTCGACTTGGACTTTTGGGGAAATTCAGTGTCTATAAGTAGGACAGCAGCAGAAATGGGACTGCAGCCAGCTGCCGTGCGCGTTCTGACCGGTAGGGATGGTGTGGTCACCTGGTACCAGTGAGAAAGGATTCCTTCCTGACCATCCCCGCAGAACGGGAGATGCAGAAAACCTTGAGTCATTTCTTTCACAGGGAAAAGACCTTGCCTTCGACTCACGCCTCTCCGAAAGGGAGCATTTCCCCGATACCTGAGGTTATGTTTCCCATCTCTAAATTGAGGCTGAAGAAAGGGAAGTAGAAACTTCTCATGGCTGCCTAAGACTTCATTCCTAAATTTATGAAACAAAAACTTAACAGAATACTGTGTAGAGACGAGATAAAAACAGTCCATAGAAATGGCCTCTCAGATCCTTACATTTATCTCTGTTTATCCAAAGGGCTGCGGCGCTGGCGTCAGTAGTGACCTGGACACCACTCAGGAACACGCCAGAACTCCGAATGCGGTGGAGATGGCCACTGGAGATGTTTAACAATTTCATGTTGTATTGGGGGCAGGTAGAGGGGCTGAAAAGAATAAATTATTTAAAGCAATTATTTAGGAAATAACGTTTTTTTAATGTGGACATACCTGGTTCTGTCTGGATATTTCTTCAGCTTGCTCTCAAAAGTGACTGAAAGTTACTGAAAAACATCAGTTTGTTTAATCATAAAGGCTGATGTTATTCAAGGAGAGGTGAAGATGACAAAGTTTATCATTAAAATTTTTAAATAGCAATTTCCCAATTGTCAGTAAAAACTAATACCTCAAGTTTAAATCTTTCTCCCTAAAATTCTCTAACCCTTGGCATTTTACTATTCATCTATACTAGATACTGAGATACGAATACAGAATAATATCTGAATTGGCAGAAAATCGGCATACATCAGGCCGTCCCCTTAGGAATGGTTAGGCTCTTTTGGGTCCTCAACCAGATCGTAGCTGGTATGAAAAACAAAAAAGCAAAGTAAGGATAGATATAGATTGCTGGTGAGCCTACGCAAAATCCTGAGATATTCTTTAAGCTGATTAAAATAAAATAGCACATGAAACCACGTTAAATCGCCTTTTATATATCCTAAGTGACTACAATAGTGAGCTAGTGGTTTCAGTGCATCACCTCCTTCTGGAAACTTCTCAGAATCCCACCCCTATCTCTTCTCACGACTTCAGGGAAATACTTCCATTTCTTTTACTTCGTTAGGGTTGTTTTGGGCTGGCGGGTTTTCTGTGACACCCCCCGCTCCATCAAAATATTCAGTGTTTTTCTAATTTTATGACTTTGGCCCCTACAGAGTAACTTGCATACTTACAGATAAAAGAATCTCTGAGGAAATTTATCCATCAGCACAGATGGATAACTTTTTCCAACCCCCTTTTCCAGGACAGAGGGTTGATTATATATCACATATAGATATACCCATATCTGTATATCTGAAGATATCACACACACACACACACACACACGGTGCCAAAAAAATGTATACACATTTTAAGAAAGGAAAAAACTATTAAAATTACGCTGATGGTAACCACTTTGAGCACCTCTTACAATTGCAGAAGTCAAACGTGACTTGTATTCTTCTTTCGTTATCGGTATATATTGAGTATTACAATTTTAATACAGTTTTTTCCTTTCTTAAATGGGTATACATTTTTTTGGCACTATGTATGTGTGTAGTGTGTGTGTGTATATATATACACACACTACACACATACACACTAATTAAGACATATATATATATATATATATATATATATATATATATATATATATATATATATCTTACCTTTGCTTGTGTTATCCTTATGCCAGAATACATGAGGTCAGGCCCTCTTTTTTTTTTTTTTTTTCCCCATGTGGGAGTCGAACCGGCAATCTTGCTGTTAAGGGTGCACATTCCATCCACTGAGCCATCCAGGCGGCAGCTCAGCTCAAGGTGCCCAGTTCAGTCCCAGTCACAGGTGGGTGTAGCTCACCATCGAACAGGCAATCTTGTCATTAGGAGCACATGCTCTTACCAGCTGAGCCATCCTGCCACCTGTTGGCAGCTCAGCAGCAGCTCAGTTCGGGCTAAGCTCATTGGCCCATGTGGGAATCGAACCAGCGACCCTGTTGCACAGAGCTCATGCTCTTAAAGCAAACTCTTAACCAACTGAGCCACTCGGCCGGCCCTAGGTCAGGCCTTCTTTTAAAAGCAAGTGTGCTGTTTTAAGGCCAACATTTATTTATTTGCATACATCTCCTCTCAAAACGAGTTCTGGCTCTCTACTGCTTTATCTACCCTTTCTATTCCCAATCCCCTGTACCTCTTCCCCTCTCTAATGATCCCCAGTGGAAATACTAAAATTCTGCATCACATTCTCATGGCTAAGGAAAAGGATACAAGAATTCTCCATAAGGAAAAATTTATGGTTGAGGGAGAGTATTACATTTAATTATTTTAGTTTAATATTTCTAACAACGTCATTGGAACTCCAAAAATAGTCTTTCCCTTTGAAAAGGCCTCGTGCCCATTTGTAAATGCCCTTTAACAGAGACACTTAGGGAAGGATTCTCCCTGCGCCTCCCCCTTTGTCCTTACTCTAGATCAGAAACTCTCAGGGCGTGAAGGTAGATGAGAATGACCTCTCAGCGAGGTCCTCCTAATTCCCCAGTCCCCTAGAGCAGGGCTCAGCAGGTGACCAGGGCCCACAGGCACTATCCAGCCTACCGCCCATTTTCATAAAGCCTTGAACACAGCCTGCTCCTGTGCTTAGGTGGCTGCTGTCACTACAGTGGCAGAGTTGAGCAGTGACAACAGAAACCATATGGCCCGCAAACCTGAAAGTCCTTCCTGTCTGGCCTTTACAGAAAAGGTGCGACCCCTGCCCTAGAGGACTGTGACACCTCACGGACTCTGTGTAGGAGTGATGAAGGCGGGACCGCAGCTCTAAAACATTCTAAAGTAGGAGAAGCCTTTCTTGACTTCGTACCGTGGTGCCCCTGTACTATCCGCAACACAGACGTGCCATGGTGGCTTATAGCCCCTCAAGATTTTATCAAGAACATTTTCATCACTACTGTAAATAGTGTCCCTTCCATAATCAGAATGCTAAAACATAATGGAAAGATGTAATTATATCAGAGTAAGTACTGTACATCCCTGGAAATCAGTTCCTTGGTGACATGAATGAACTACTGAGTGACCCATCAGTCCTAAAGGGCCGTCCACTCCATATTGCCACGTTTCAGACAAAGGTGGGACCCTACATTAACAAGAGGGTTTTTGTTTGACACAGTCACTACCAAGAATCCTAACACACATAATAGGAGAGCAAATCTTAACCGATGTCTTTGAATTAGACACTGAGCACTGATTCTTAAATACAATGATACGGGTGACTTTGAAGATGCCACAGGCAGAATCTCTAGATTCTGGAGTTACCTGGTCCTGTTCACAACGTAACAGATGGAAAAGGGTTCCTGTCTACTCATGCTGCCATCCAAGGTGGGAAAATACTTGGAAGACCTTTCATCAAGTCTTTTAAGGGTTTCTTCATAATGTTCAAAACAGTTTAAGAGAGTCGTTGAGGTCAGCCAATAACTAATGTTTTTCCTCGATCGCGATCTAAACGAACAGCATGATGAAGGAATACGCCTCATAGCTCTGGTTTGTGGTATTGGTGTAAACTTGCCCTATGAGGATACAGTCATTGTCCATATATGCAAATATCCCTACAAGTTCATTTCCACGCCAGTCCCTAATACTGTGTGTGAGCTGGTAGATTACCAGCTTCTTCCTGAGACTAGAGAGTCTTTTGAAAACTAGGGTTGTAGATGAGTGGGACTGCGACGTGCAGACGCCAGTGTGCGTCAGATAGGAGGCAGGAGTCACTGATCATCTCTTCACAAATCCAAGAGAAAAGGGGGAATGCTCTTTATAGGGTTGACCATGTTAAACAGTCCCCTTAATGTTGTGTCCAAACCATGCTCCACACCTTCCGTGGCTCTGGCGAGAGCTTCCCTAGACAAACAACAGTGCTTAGATTTTGCTTCCAAAGACAGCAGCGTGCAGTCAGCAGCAAGCCTTCCAGCAACGTGTGTGGACAAACATTCAGCCTGACAGTCCACGCCAGCAATGCATTTCCATCTTCCCATCCAGCCTGCAGATGGTGCTACCCGGCCCCTCTCCAGCCTTGAGAAGACGGGAAGGTTCAGAGACTGGAGGTCGAAAGTCCGAAGTATTTACAGGCCTTCCTAAACCCTCCACTCACACGGTCCCTGGCTGTAACTCATGTGGTCTGTACAAGGTAGATTATCCCTGGGGCTGCCTACTTGAGTTTAATCCTGAGTCTTAATATCGGAAATAACTGAGTGTACTGAAGAAAGTATATTTTTTTCTAATACACATTAAAATATTTAGCTATTAAAAATGAAATCATTTTGTTGTATTATCAATGGGGTGTTGTACGCTTTCCGGGAAACCCTTTCTGCTGCCACTATTCTTATCAGTCCTGTTTTTCCTGATTTACAGTTTATCCTGATTACTCTCAATACCTGCTCCCCACCCATGCTCATCCTATGTATTACTGCCACCATTCTTTTATAACAAAGTATTTTTTTAAATCAAGAGAATTCCTCTATTCTGATCATTTGCCTCTTCCAGGCCCTCACCTGTGAAATGGGTGGGTGTGTCCCTGAGCACCTTATCTCACTGGCTGAAGCCTCCATGGTCTGGACTATTAAATGGGGGGTAATTATACCTACTTTGCAGAGATTTGGTGAGATTAGAAGTCTTACATCTTTATTCCAGCAAGGTCTGACAGACAGTAAGAATTAAAATAACAACTCTTCGAATAAACTCCTGGCGGCATTATACTATGTTTGCTTTCTAAACTTGAACCACGCCGAGAGAGACCCCACCACAGTCCACACTAAAATCCAGCTACCATTTGGGTGCTTGTTGTGTCAAAGCCAAGTGCAGTGGGAAAGTTCTTGACGTGCATTCTCTCATTTTACCCTTACACCCACCCTGTGAGGCAGGTGCTATTATGCTGTTTTTCCAAAGTTAGGAAACGGAGGCTTGAGGAGGTTGAGTGATTGGCCTACATGCTATGTGGTATTTGTCACATAGCAGCCCAGGGAGGAGCTGGCACTCGGACTCCCCCAAACCTGCCCCCTGGGCCAGCTTTCCTTCAGGCTGCCTTACCCCTTACCCTCCAGCTCCAGGCAGGCCAGGCAGCTGTCCATCTGCCAAAGGGGGCGGGGCTAGCCCTACCGCACACCTTCTCTAGCCCCTTCTTCCTCCTTTTCTCCAAAAGGCACAGCTTAGCATCCCCACTCCTTCCCCAGTGGACTAAATTGCATTGGTGTTGACTTCTACAAGGGCACAGGTCGTACAGCATTAAATGTTGCATGCCATGTCCCTGCCTCCCAGGATAAGCCTTGTTTGTACCATCTACCTCCCTGTAGCTCCCCCATAGGGCCTGCACAGAATATAGCCTTAAATTGAAGTAAGCCATACAGGGAAGCAGCTGTCATGCTAAGAACACCATTGATTTAATTGCCAGTTTGTAGCAGCAGTTGAGGCCATATGCAAGGGAACTGCCACACGCAGCCCAGACATCTCTGCAGGAGCTGAGCAGAGTGTGATGATGACTAGTGCCGTATATTCAAGCTTGTATGGTTGTACACATACTCTGCTTCCCCATTGTGTGGATAACTTATCCTACCACACAGTCAACCTGCCTCCGGTCCTGTTGTATTCTCAGGAGCTAGCTCACTTCCAGGATAAGAAGAAATAAACCTAAATACAGCAGGCCACTTTGCCTCTCGTATCCTGTGTAGGCCAACAACCGGGTTCACTGGGACATTGGGAACAGAGAAGGCCACAGGAAGGCCAAGGAGGTTTTTACTGGCAGGTCCTCCAGTCCCCAGACACACCTGAGGTTATGCTTCAGTGACTGACCAGTTCAGTCTTACTGCATTTACTGGCATAATGGCCCATTTTTCGACACTGCAAGAGAAAACGTTAATGTCATGACTTGGTGAATTCAAATTCCAACAGAAAAAAACCTAAATCGTCTAGGGAGCCAAAGGAGAAAGTTAGCGGGCTTTCTTAGGAATTGAGTGGATTCTGCTCCTAAGTGGAGCCCCGTTTCAGGCCTGAAAGACCTTGAGATACAAGCTGGGCGTCACTATCTGAGAAAACAGGCCTCTGGGTGTTCAAAGGCCATTAAATCAAATGCACGAGGAAGTTCCACGGTCTGTGTTCCAACTATCTCTGGCAGAGCAGAGGAGTCAAAGCTCAAGGCAGTTAGAGGCTATCTCATGAAAATATGATAAAACATGAGGTTCTTTCTGCTAAACCAGGAGATAGCCCAAAGAAAACCCATGTGCTCCGTTCACTTCCTTACCAACCTCTGCCCCCAAACCCTGAGGACACTCTCTATAAATAACTCCAGAGAATTCCTAGGCATCAAAGTAAGAAATGAAAGACGTTTCACTTATTAGCCTTTAAAAGAAATAAATAGTCTCATCGGGCAGGAGATATTTACAAATAAGATTCGGTTGTTGAGACTTTCCAGTTGGAACATTTGGTTTACCGGTATCCCCTCACTCTCTGAATTCACACTCCTAAACCCACGGACGGTTTTCTTATCTGTGGCAGAAAAGTAGTCACACTTTCTGCAGGGAGTCACCCCCACCCTCCAGCCCTCAAAAGAACAACAGCCCTCTTACCCTGTAGCAGGGGCCCTGCTCCGGCACCCTGAGCCCCAGGCAGTAGGAGACCAGCCGCTCTTGGGGCCTCATCTGAGGGGGGAGACGCAGGCAATCCATTGGGGAAGGGGGCTTGCGAGGTCCCCAGGCAGAAGCAGAAGGTGCTGAACCCCGTGGCCAGTTGAGAAGCTGCAGATAAAGGGAAGGCGTGAAGAAGCAAGGATCTACCGCAGACATTCCTTCTGTGCAGACAAGGTGACTTCACACGGAGGGCAGGGGCTCTGGCCAGGCGTTCAGGCAGAAACCAGGCATGAAATGCCTGTATTTACAGTTTGAATTGCTGAAAGCATGCCTTTTGATGGACGTTAGAAATGGGCTTGTAATTCCCCAGTCACTGAAGATTGCTTCCCACCTTCTCTCGGAGATC